ATCTGCTGTGGGATAAGTCCGCGTTGATGGTGAGGCTTAAGCCGAGGAATCTGGTGCTGTGAGCTGGGCATTGTTCCGAAGCAGAGAATGTATTTGAGCGGCGCGAGGGTGCAGGTGGTCTGAACCGGGGTAAGCCCGGGATAGCGGTTTGTTGAAACATCCTGGAAGTACGTTATTGTTGAGACATGTTGGCGGAATTTGGTCTGGTAAGAAGGGACGGACAGAGGCAGAGAACTTAGGGCGGTCTCCCAATCATTCAGCAGGTGTTGTTGATGTATGTCTACCTTAGTCAATATCTCACAAGGAAATAAGAATACTAAGATTGGTGAGGCTGCGAGATAAGGCAGGGGTCCCTTCGAGATGATATAGCTTTTCCTGGATGCAAGTTATATATCGGCTTGGTTCATGAACCCCCACGGTGATCTCAATGGTGGCATTCGGCGGCTCGCTCATCTGGGTGAGGTGTTCACTCGGTTCTGAAGAGAAGATGGTTGCTCTGCATAGACCGCGAGAAGCGAGTAGCTGTAAACTGCGGGCCAATGTCTTCCAAACACGGGGTTAGGGACAATTGCTGTGCACAAACGTTATCTACCCGTCTTCCCACTGCCGCCACTGCCTCCTCTATGGTTTGTCATCGGAAGCAGCCCTACCGTCAGTCACCGAGTCTGGTGCCTGCATTGGGAATCCAATTCCGAGCAATCCTTGCCATTGCTGGCATGTTCGTACGGTAGCTCTCAAGATCTTGCCTCGTCTCGCGTCAGGGTCAAATGTGCAGAACGGACATAAGTGCTACTACTACCCGAAGCTCATACCCTGGGACTCTTGGATATATGGTTGAGTTTGTGGACTTTCATTGACAATCGTGAGCCCGGCCTTCGCTTCACGACAGCCGTGTGTATCACCTCCATAGGAGCTCAATGCTTTTGAAATGAGTATATTGAGTCATTTGGCCTAGTAGATTCATCTCTACATTTCTAGTAGCTCGCCTGCCTCCGCCAGTCTGCAGGTCTGGCCAGTGCCAAGGATACCACTATCTGGTGGATTAGGACAAATGCGCTCCATTGGTCTCATATTGGTATCGACGTATGCGTGCAATCAAAGGTTGACGTACCTCTGCCTAGTAGGCTGTACCTGGCAGGACACTCAGAAACAGGCTTTGGCAATGATCGTCAGTGATCATGCACGGAACGGCTGGTCAGACAGCCGAGGTACACTGAACGCGAAACCCCATCTGATTGACCTGCAAATTCGCGACGAGGCCTTACCTGAGCAGCACAACTGGGTGGAGTTTACAGCTTGATCTTGCCTTGGGAAGGAAAATATAAAGAGTTGTTTCGACCCCTCCTCCCCGAATTCCATCAGCAACCTTTCCTTCCTTCTCTATCATCATCGGTCAAGTCTTCACGAATGGCCGCTTTAATTCCACGGGCCTTGGTCTCAGCAATAAGCGCTGTGACGTGATGACAGCCGTACGTGTGGATCGGTGCGCACAACTGCTTTTCTATGTTATCTACTCCGGGGTAAAACATCGAACCTCGACTCAAGGTACGACTGTTGGTACCCCAAGTCTCCATAAACCCAATTCTTTACAGGATCAGGGCAGTAAATCATCCTCTTGTAGCTAGCACGCATTCTATCCAATCTAAACCTTATATAACCTTTCGAACATACACATAGAGGTGTCATATGATCCATACAGCACAGTTGCGACAGAAATGTTCAAGAGTGTGAATCGATCTTGACAGGAGTCAAACATCACCTCACTTCAACAAGTACTCTCCAACCAATCCGGACAGCAAAATAACCCCCACAATAGCCGTTCCCTTCCCAAACCACCAAGCGCAGCTGGCCGCCTTGCTCAAATCAACCACAACGAGCATAGTAGCCAATGCGAGCGCCTCAGCTCCACACGACCCGACGAAGTACACCGACGAGAACCGGCTCTGCACGCCTGTAAACACCAGCAGCCCGATCTGCGCAACCGTCAGCACAGCAAGCGCCGGCTTAGTGTGATCGCCCAGACGAACGGCTAGCGAGCGCACGCCCGCCTTGATGTCATCCGCGCGGTCCTGGTGCGCATAGACGGTATCGAAGATGACGGTCCAGATGCCCGAGGCCACACACAGGCTGAGCGATGCGACCGCCAACCGCGCATCCGCATCCTCCGGGTGCAGGGTGAAGGGTGAAACGGGGAACAGATTGAGCCCCAGCAGGGCGGCCGAGAACGGGATCGCCGCCGCAAAGCCCACGCCAAGGATCATCTGCGGCATGTCGGTCACTCGCTTCCCCAGCGGGTAGACGCTGAGGATTACCGTGGTCAGGCTGGCGTAGAGCGGCACGGCGGTCAGCCCCGCGGCTTGCTGCAGCGGACACCGCAGGGCCATCACGGCCAGGATGGCGACCTGCACCGCGGCGAAGAGGTTAGCCTGCGTGGTGGAGACCGCCCCGCGCGCAATGGGCCGCCAGCGGGTCCGCGCGACCTGGCGGTCGAACTCCTGGTCGAAATTGTCGTTCACGGTGCAGACGGCTCCACGCAGGATGATCACCCAGACGATTTGGTAAATTGCTGCCTCAGCTAGGGCACGGAGGGACACGGAAGGCAGGATGGCCGCGGCAAAGCTCATCCCGATCAGGTAGTGCCAGTAGAAAGCAAAAAAGCCGGCTGGTCGGTCCAGACGCATCAATTCAGCATATGGCACCCAGCTGGCTGGCATAACACTGAAGATGCCAGTGGAGGGAGGCTGGTATTGGGATTGCCCAGTAGAGGATGTGGCTTGGCCCTTGGTGGTTGACGCCATTTTGAGAAGCCTAGCAATGCCAGAAGATTCTGAGAAGGAAAGTCGAGCTGTAAATGCTGGTGATGCGCTGTTCTACTCACCGCGGGCTTCTCCGACCCTTTTTATAGACCGTTATCTCCGAAATGGCCACTTTGTCCTGACAAAACTTCTCGTCAGCCTAAGTTGATATGGCACTCAGTGCTCGCTCCTCAGGGCTTGTAGTGGTGCTTACCCGTTGCGGGTTAGCCAGCCGTTAGCCATGATCTCCCCAACCAACCGATTTTCAGGGTCCATATTGCGCTGCGGCCTTGCAAGTCTTGGCCGTCGAATGGAGGGTTGTGGTGGTCACGCCAATCTCGTATTCTGAGATAGTGCGTAGGAAAGGGTAAGGTGTGATGATATTTTCTGTCTTCTTTGCCGAGTTGCATGAACGGGCACTCGTGGATGATTGATAAGCCTGCAGATTTGGCCCTCGTTTTGCTCCCCTTCTCGACAATCCTTCGGATCCTGCACCAACATCCATGATTAGAACAGTCGGGCCCTGGTCATGATCTGCCGCCATCATTGGCCCGATACTTGACCGCCCTCCCGTGAGGGGAGATAGCCCTTATTTGGGACTCTGGTGGTCAGCATTGTCGAGAACAGTTCTCGTGGGCGGTCTGCTCGTCTATGTTTTGAGACTGGAATGCAGTAGTTTCGAACGATGAGGTCTGGACTAACCCTGGAAGGATTTTCGTGTCGGTTTGACCCGATGTGGGTCGCAATTGTGTGAGTGCCGTGGTTATTCAGTTGTCTCCCAAATGGGAAAAGCTTAAGTCGCTTGTTCCCGTCCCGCAGTCAGGCTGTCGCATTCAATAATGCTGATATAGCAACTGGTAAGTCAAGTTACCCGTCATTTGGAAGGCAATGGAAGCGAAACTGGCGCAACTCGCCACTGTCCACAGTTGCCTGCTCAGTGGCAAATCAACAGCTGCACTGATATGTCCGGGTCTACTGCATGGCATCTAATAGGTTGTGTTCCAGCCGGAATTCAACCTGTTGTTAGCAGTCAAAGGCGGCCAGATATATATATCAGTAGGGGACTTTTCATTTGTACGGTATATATGCTGGTGGGGTTGTGAAATGTCTTCGCCTTTACTTTCTTCAAACAGGAACGGTATCACTCACCTCCCAATTCGCTAGGTCGTAACGAGGGACTCGATCTAGAGTAAGCCTCTGATAAGACCGATAAGAAGGAAGGATCCGAGGAGAAGGTGAAACAAGACCCCGGCTTTTTTCAAACTCAAACTCATCACGATCGTTCCTTGGGCCCCAACAACAGCGTTACCCAGGCGAGTACTGTACCATTAGGTGCGTCCACGGGATCGGGGACCGCTGGGAATCACTCCCGATCTCCGACTATCGACCCGGATAGACTATTTTAAGAGGTTCGGATAATTTTCCGGTACCGGCGGGGAAAAAGGCTAACCCTACAAGATGCGGGTCGTCCTTATCCGATCACCACATTATACTAGCCCGCGTGTTCCAGCATCAAGTGATTTTCGTCATTTGGGACGCAATATAAATGCTAAATGCTCGCGCTTTCTTTTCTCTTGTTTTGTTTTTCTCTTGTTTCAGAGGTGTTCCTGGGGTGTCGAGTACGGAGGCCAGAGCGTCGGCCCAACTCACCGTGTAGACAGGATACGCTAGCTTCCGGAGGGCCATGTTTCCCAGAGTCCAGATGCCATAGAGTTGGTGAGCGCTTGGCTTGGAGATATTCTAATTAAGAGTTGAATCTGTTGCCTCGAGGTGAGGGACTGTGATTGTAAAGGCGATATGGATCTGGGGTAATCTGACATGAGACTGGTATGAAGGATGGTAAGCAATATTTAATCCGTGCCGAAAAAAGGGAGCAAACATTCCATTCCATCAAACCCTCCTTGGGCAACTTCTGGGTAGATACACGTACAAATAGTTGTCAAGAGATCCCGGGATCCGCCGTAATGTCTTTCCTTGCACCCAGCGAAGTATGCAAAGTGGGCAGCTTCAAATAGGATGAGTTCTACCAACCCGTTACTTGATACTTGATACTGCTTATCCTCGCTCGACGGCTTTTGTCTGAACTATTCAGCTGCCTATACACCCTGGACAGCAGTATTAATACATCGTCACCAGAGCTCAGCAGACTTACCCCACCTCTAACCCAGAATCTACGGCTGACAAGCCCTACTTAGCTGGATAATGAGACCCGTGAAACTCGCACCCAACGGCAGCCTCACACTCCGCTCGTGCCACCTCAGTCATCGTCCAAGCATCAAACACAGCAGATAACTCGACCCGATATCCCCATTTAACACCACACTCAGCAAGAAGCCCGCATCCTCAGCCTCGGCCCCGGGTTCAGGCACGAAGATTGCCTCCCCCGGGGTATGGCGACCTCGAGACCAGATTGTGCTTTCCTGGGTATCGCCATCGACTTTCGCAGTGCCATCAAAGAACGACGACTACGCGTGAGAGTCGGTCAGTCAGAGTCAGTACACCAGAACAGTTCCACATGAGAAAACAAGATGCACGTATACCTTCTCCTGCGTGCAGAGGTTATACACGAATCGCGTCTTTCGGCCGGTGAATTTGAGGTTGATCGTTGGAAGATCGCCCACGGCATCGGATGCGATGGTCAACTCAGCTGTCGCCTGAGGCTAGGTGGCATAGGGACGGTTCTTCTTTCCGTTCCCCTTGCCAGTATCCTGACGGTGACGAGTAGACGAAATGCCGGAAAGGCGATAGCGAACAAGACGAAGGCGCGAGCGGTCACTCCCGTAGTGCTTCTCGACCTTGGAACCCGTCGAGATCAAGCACTCGTAGAAGACACGATGCAGCATTTCGTCAGTGTGGTATTGGATGAGATGACAAATAATGTCTGTGGTCCCGTTGCGGGGCACCTCTTCTTCTCCATCGACATCGTCCATCTGCCAAGCGTTAATGGTATGGAAGCTGAAGAACGCCGGACTGACAAAGGTAGCAACAAACCCACGCCCGCCTTTCCGGTCGACAATGTACCAGCGCGTGGGTGTCTCGGGGTCGAAGCGCATAGCATCGAGCAGGTTGCGTTCCCATAGGACTTTGACCGCCCCGGCCACGAACAGCGCCGACCAAATACACAGGATCCATAGTCCCGACTCAAGAAGAAGAAGTGCAGGTAGGCAGCCTGCACGCCGGGCCCAGTGATAGTGGCCAGAATTTCGGTTTTGCCGGTGGCGGCCGAAGGCGAGGTTGTAGTTATACAGGTCGCCCGTGATGGGGCCGAGTTTAGGATGCGCGCTCGACAGGGGTCCTTTCGGCTCGGGGTGCAGGCCTTCCTGTCGCGTCACTCCTAGGGGCTCGAGGGTCTCGGGGTCAATCTGAGTTACCGGGTCTAGTTGTCAGTTCTTGATACTTACATCATTCTCTAGAAAAAGGAGGGACGGAGGGACGGAGGCAAGTACGCAGCATACGTGCTTGATCAGGTCGCGTCGGTCAGAGTGGTTAGACTCGAAATCCTCCTTAACCGTGCTGTCTAGAGGGAACTTTGGGGTGGGAAGGAATCCCTGGGATCTGTCATCGCCTGTTAATATATATGGTCTCTCACAAAGATGGAATAGAGCACCCGGCATAAAGATCTACCTACATTAGCATGCACCGTGACTCCAACATTCACAATCCCCGGAGTTCCGGTCTCGAAATGATCTCAAAGACTGCCTTGGCCTTTTGAAAAAAGTTAGCACAAGGGTTTCGCTTTTGCACGGGCGTCATGCCGCGCAGGCTGCCCGTCTTGCGCACCTCCTCAATCAGCGCATCGACCTGACGGCGGGAGTTGTAGAGCACCTTACAGAGCCCGCTTGACCGGGGCACGAGCTGAAAACGATGCAGCTGCGTGAAACCGTCGAACCAGTGGTGGAGCTGATACTTGGATCCGGGGACTTTGTACCTAGCCGGTTCGGTCCGGTACAGAACTCCCGCGACATGCGGAGGGAATGTGCCGATCACGGGCAGCTCGATGGGCTCGCGTTGCTCGGCCGTCGTTTCGAACTGACTAGTGAAGTATTTAGTGGGTTTCTTTGAGGGATCGTAATCAGGCACGGACAGAGACCTACTGCGGCGTCATTGGGCCGATATTTGAATGGTTTGGGTTGTGGTTTTGTCTGGGTCTGTCCCATGGGTGCGCATCTGAAATTTGGGTTAAGTATTGAGGCGATATTATAGGAGGCCTCCGTGTTATATCATGCCGTTATCCCATGACCGCGGAGACAATAAACGTGCCATGTGAAGCACCGCCGCCACGAGCTGACATTGCGTGCAAAGGTCATAGATGGGTGCCTAGAGGGTGAGGGAATATTCTATTTATGCTTGGCCGGTTCAAGATCGGTGGCGTGTGAAGCGTGATGTCTGTACTCGATTTTGGGTGACGTTCGTGCTTGACTGACTCAATCCAACCCCTACCATCAGCACTAGTCTATTGAGATGCCAAGTAGCACAAAGTATGATAAATGAATTGAGCATACGCCGTGCGGGGTAGCAGCTGCCTGCTCAACCAGGCTTAAATGCCATCGATTCATTCAGAGAGGGCCTTCCCCAGAATTGCAAGGGACTAATTGTCGCACAGTGTGTACAGCTAGCTCCAAAACTCGGACGATAATAAGCGGAGGCATCTTCAGATACTGCAAGCCTCCGTCCAGAACCCGGAAACCATTCCACCCCCAGGCACCAGTCACGCAACCCGGAAACCCTAACAAGCCAAGCAGCTCCAGCTCAATGCTTCGAAACATCTCCTCCTCCAAGGTAAGCTTACCCTGCTCCATCCAGAACCTTCACTAGCCGCAAATGACATGGTCTCAACTAAGTGGATCCATCTAGGGTTCCAGCCTTCAGGTTTTCCCCCACATAGTAAGCCACAGCTTCGGTCAGCTACGGAAGTCCATTAGTCAGCATCGCCCACCACCGTGTCCTTCCGACTAAACCAGTTCCCTCCACTACAGTCAACTATCAAACTTCAGACAACCTCACACAGCACCCAATAAAAGAGATCCAACTATGTCCCCAAAAGCCTTCATTATCACTGGCGCCTCGCGCGGTACTTCCACCTCTTGCATCACCCCAACCTCCCACTTTCCCCACCAAGGCTAACAGCAACCAAGGCATTGGCCTCGCCATCGCCAAGTACCTCCTCAGCAGTCCGCAAACCCACAAACTGGTCGTCATCGCACGGAGCGTTGGCCCACTCCAAGCTCTAAAAGATCAGTATCCCAGCCAAGTCGAGGTCCTGAGCGGAGATCTCGCCGATCTCTCGCTCGGCCGGAAGGCCGTCGATCTGGCTCTGAAGTCCTTCGGACAGCTGGACGGACTTGTGCTGAATCACGGAACTCTGGGGCAAGTGGCGAGTATGGCTGAGGCGGACCCCGAGCAATGGAAGCAGGGGTTCGACGTGAATTATTTTAGCTGTGTTGCTTTCGTACGTCAACGCACTATCACCCCTAGATGATCAACCGTCCCAGAGGAACTAACGATAAGCAACAGGTACAAGCATCCCTCCCCGTCCTCCGCGCCTCTCAAGGCCGGATCATCTTCACCTCATCCGCGGCTTCCGTGTCGGCCTTCAAGGGATGGGGCTTGTACGGCGCCACCAAGGCGGCCATGAACCATCTAGCACTGACACTGGGGGAGGAAGAGCCTGAGGTGGTCTCTGTGTCGGTGGATCCGGGGATCGTGGATACTGAGATGCAGCGGAGCATCCGGGAGGATCTCGCGACGAAGATGGATCGACAGTTCCATTCGTTCTTTACCACCGTCCACAAGGATGGAGGGCTGCTGAGACCCGAGCAGCCGGGGCATGTTGTTGCGCGGTTGGTGGTTGATGCGCCTCAGGAGTTGTCGGGGAAGTATCTTTCGTAAGTTCTGTTGTTTTTGCCCGTATTATATTGAGGATATAGTTGCTGACAAGAGACAGATGGAATGATGAGGCTCTTGCGGCTTTTCAGTAGCTCTCCTTGGCGTTCGTTTCATAGAGATAAGGGATGAAGCTAGAGATAGAGATAAAATAGAGTAGTAGAATAACTTTGTCCTTTGGGGTTCATATCGCACATTGCCATAACTACCATTTACACGCATTACCCGATCACCTACAAGCTTAGAGTGGTCCTGCTCACCCTCAATCGACACGACCCGTACATCTATCTGACTCCTCTCCACAACCAGCTACTGATCAACGATAAGGTCCAATAGGAACGTAGGCGAGCGGAAAGAATAGTGGCGTAAGCGCTAAGCAGACTAAGCACAGTAAGCACTACCATGACTGCTTGACCCCGTAATATCATACGTATACCTCCGATCCGCTGCGTCCTCAGACGGGTAAGCGGCAAGATGGAGATGTCCGATCCGTCTTTCTCTCCCACTTCCCCGCCTCGTCTCCACTGGGTCTCTTACATACCCAGATTGTTCCACCAGGATCCAAAATATAAGCTCAATTTCGCACATCATCCCCCTCGCCAAACCGCTATCTTCTTCATTTTCATGAGGCTACCACTACCACTATACACCATCGACCCCGCAACAAGTCCAAAATGCCAACCTCCAAATACTTCGCGCAAGTGCCTCCCTTTCCAGACGACACACCCACGGTAGACCTCCCCACAATCTCACTGCACAGACTAAAAGCCCACGACCCCATCGAGTCCCAGAACTTGTTTACCGCGTCCCGTGAATGGGGGTTCTTCCTCCTTGACCTCCGCGAGGACGACCAGGGCGTGCGCCTGATGCGCCAAGCGGAGAAGATGTTTGATCTGGATGCTGAGCTCTTTGCGTTGGACCAGGCGACATTGGATCAGTATGCATATGATGCGCCAAGAGATCTTACGGGGTACGTTGCACGGCCCCATTTCATCAGAAGACACGAAGAAAACTGAGAGAAAGGTGCAGTGGAGAGCGATAACTAACGATCTGGTGATCTTGCGTGGGCCAACAGGTACAAAAAAATGGGTGCTCTCAAGACCGACGATGGCAATGTCGACCATATGCATCTGTACAGCATCAACCAGGATGACATACTTGGCAACCGGCCGGCTCGGGTCAATGCTCCACCCATCGAGGAGAAACGTGCGGAGATCCAGACCTTTATTCGGGAAGCCTCTGCCGCGCTGCGAATTATCCTCGCCACTCTGAATCATGAGCTGGGTCTTGAGTCAGGCACATTGGAGAAACTCTGTCCCTTGGGCCAGGAATCCGAGACCAGTGTGCGCTTACTCTGCAGTCCTCCACAATCCGGAACCCCAACCGAAGACACGGCCAAGAAGATCACGTTAGGTGGCCATACCGACATCGGAATACTAACCCTCCTCTTCCACGTCGTCGGGGGCTTGCAGATTCTCCCCGCAGGCCAGGAGAACATCTACAAGAATTGGCGATACGTGCCCCCGGTGCTGGGCTGCGCATTTGTCAATGTTGGGGATACGCTGGTGGAGTGGACGGGGGAGCTGCTGCGCAGTTCTTTGCATCGGGTTGTCGCGGCCCCCGGGAGGCAAGCGGGCATCCCGCGACGGAGCGTGGCGTACTTGGTCCGGCCGGCGAAGCAAGCGAGTATGCAACGGCTGCAGGGGGGCAGGATTCCCCCGCTGGCGAAGGGAGAGGCAGAGGAGACGAGGCCGGTGAATGAGTGGGCGGCTTGGCGGTCACAGCAGATTATGCTGGGGACGCTGAAGCCGCAGACCCGAGGGGGTGTGAGGCCTGTTGTAATATAAGTCAGGTTGAGATTGGTTGTGATCTCGATGTGTAGGCTGAGTCAATTATGGTGGTTATTGCCGCGTGGTGGAATATTAAGAGATACGTAGGGAAGAGTAGATTTGTTTTATCCCGAGTACTAAGATATAGAATAAGTATGATATCCTGCGTTATCTCATATTGGCCGTTGTCATTGCATTGAAGCTCCATTGGGTTGGTGAATCTGACATTGGCGGGCATCTCGTTTTGTCAAGTCGCGCATTAGCGGAGTTTCTTATCATTAATTCACTACACTAGACCCTATATCTCCAGGACTTTGTGGCTTTAGCAACTCTCTTCCTCTCTTCAATCCCCTTGATTCCCACCTGAAGAAGGTTTGCTCTCTCAATTCCAACCAATAGCCCCAAAAGTGCCACTGTGAATTCGTACATAAGGTACACGGAGAGGGACAGACACGTTCTCGATGTCCCTCAGCTGGTTGTGGAACTCACACCCGGCAACCCCATCTTTTGGACCGAGCCCTACAACCGACGCTTCTCAATCGGCATCACTCTTCGCCGCATCCACACCGACGAGCCAAACAGCAACAACAACGGCGAGAGTACCCTAACAACAGGTCAACCCTTCTGGCTAGACTGGCTACCTCGCATTGATCCCAGCCAGGAGGAATTTATCCTCTTACGTCACGGTCCGAACAGCAGAAGCCTCGAGCGAGTTGGTGTGGAGGAGCAGTCTCCATATTGCCCACGCCCAAGAGCTCAGCACTTCCCCAACGAGCCAGCCTCATTCTATGTAGAAGAGGCCAGGGTAAATTGGGACCGCAGTGCAGTGACTCAGCTAATGTCTTTGCCGCATGCTTGGGAATTGATTTTACAGCCGGGGTATACCTACACCGTTATCGGGACGGGATGCAAGATCGCCAACTGGAACTGGGGGATGCAGCCGGATCTGGAGCAGCCGCCCAAGTGGGCCGCGATCATAATCCCAGGGAGCGCATCTGTCACATCTCTCGTGAAGGAAGGGGAGATGCCCCGATTGGGCGCCTTCCGACGCCGCGCCTGTTGGTCCAGACGAGCGAGTGTGAGTATCTCCAGTCCAGCGGGAGAATAGATGTGCTTGGCTAACTGCGCGATATTCTACGAGCACCGGTTCTGAGTCTCGGACTCAGCTGCAACCCGACTTGTCTCGGACCGGGAAGAGAGAAATGTCCATTCGAGTGACATACCACGCTCCCTCCGATAGCCCTGAGGCCTGGACGACCGATGACAAGCCTCGACCGATCACATTCCACACCTACACTTTCGACTCCATGTTCGCCACTCAGTTCCGCGTCACCCGCCGTCGCTACCAAGATCAATCGTCCCAGAGCACCGCGGATGCACCGGAGGAATGGGGAACATTTTACGGCAGCGACACTGTCCCCTGGTGGTGGGACCTGCCCGATCAGCAGACTAACATGTCCAAAGCACCGGACGATCTGTTTCCAACTCTCTTGCCGGGAGGATCCTGGTCAACTTCCTAGGAGCTTGCAGTGGACTGGGACAGTCTTCCCGACGACCTGCGAGCGGGCGAGCGACTCCGGTACCAGATCAAGGGGAAGACGCTGGACTGGTGGGATTGGGCCACCCGCGCGGATCATGTGCAGACGATCGTCACAATGACTGGCACGCCGCCGGCCGGGATGCTGGAGGGACCGGTCTTGCAGCCTAGAAATAATGGAGGCCGCCCGAAAGTGGTTGTCCCGGCATCAAATGTTGTGGGGTGGACGGTTACCGAGTGAGCACGTTTCGAGATATAGTATATATGAGATAAATAAGACTGGATCACGGTTGGAATCAGCACTAAAGCTGCCATTAGCCGTAGAACCGGCATGGACAGGGATCCTGAGAGAGGTTTCCTCTTGAAACCCCCTTTAGTTGTGTCCCCCTCAGCTGACATGAAGCCCTAAGTGCCCTAGTAAAAGCACTGGATCAACATATTCTCGCCCTTGAGCAAGGGAGCTTGAAGCTGCTTCAAGCTTTACCATTAGAAGTTTAGTGCCGGTCTCGAGAGCAACTTCCTTTTAGTTCATCCACCCCACTTGCGTCAGATGTGGACCCCTCGTTAGGATCATTGGACCTTTGTGGGGAAAAGACACGTACAGGACTTGCCAACCTAGCTTGCGGAGTCCGACCGGCTCCAGGCCCAAAGTCGAATCATTTAAATGAAGTGACTCCTCGTCTTTTTTATCTTGTGACCTAGTGTATCCTTCTACCATTTTCCCTTGTTGGTACCTTTTGCAGTCGGGTTCAACAACTCCAGACCGCATCCAATGGACCCATCAACCCCACCCAAGATCATACCCGCGCCGGGACAACACCCGGACATCAAAGCTGATGCACGTCGCGTGTTCGACGTCCTCCGATCTGGCGGGGTAGCCCTAGTGCCGACCGAAGTCGGCTACGGCCTCATGGCCTCATCGACTGAGGCAATTCAACGAGCCTTTGCAGCCAAGAAACGCCGACCCGGCCACGCGCAGGGCATTATCGGGACTTACAATCTCCACCGCGAGCTCCACGTGCTCCCCGCAGCGCGGCACGAGATGATCCGCACGCTGCACCACGAGATGGACATGTCCTTCGGGGTGGTCGCGCCCTTCCGCGCGGACCACCCCCTCCTCCAACAGCTGACCCCAGCAACCCTGGCAAACACGACCAAGAATGACACCCTGGCCATCTATCTCGGTAGAGGGTCTCTGCTGGTGGAGCTGGGCCGCTTGAACGACGAGGCTGGCCAATTGATGCTAGGGTCGAGCGCCAACCTCACCGGCACAGGCCAGAAGTTCCGGGTGGAGGACATCGACCAGGAGATCAAGGATGCCACCGACGTGATTGTGGATTACGGGTTGCAGCGGTATCATGTGTACGGGGGCCGCGCGTCGACGATCTTCGATTTCGACAAGATGCAGGCGCTGCGGATTGGCGCCGAGTATGAATTGCTGAGGGAGCGTCTGCGGAAGTATTGGGGGGTGGACGGGTTGCCTGAGGATCCTCTTTTTGGCTAGGAGCAGCGGCTTCCGGAGCCCTAACCTCCCCCCATCTCACTGAACCCGCTACATTTGATGAACCTCCTGCACCCCCTGCATCAAGGGTTTAATGTTCGACATGAACCACTAGCATAGAGAGATTGAGGCTTGGAAACTGACGTCTATTTTGTTGCTTACTAACTCTCTGCGCTAAATATCTCAAGAATGTGGAGAAAAAAGGAGGGCAAGGGAAGAGGAGGGAGCAATCGTGTGTTCAGACTTTTTGTCCTTTCAGATTGTTGAATTCATGGATTAAAAATCTATGGATAATCAATGTACCAAAACATACATACATGAGGTTCTATGATCGACACTTACTCTATTCACCGTGAAGTAGATATGTATATGCCTTGGTCCTTCTCGTCCTCAAGTCTTAGATGCCTTAGCACTTGACCAGCACTCAAAAGGATAAAGGAGTAGGAGGATCCAACCGATCAAGCGGAAAGAACCCCCATGGACCTGAGGCCCGTGGCCGCGGGCCCGGACCCAAACATCTTGAATCGGGGATATTTAGTCGCAGGGCCGTCTGCATCATATTCTACGATGCTTCACGAACCGCGGATATGGATTGCGAAAATGACCAAAGGCATGGCTGCTGCGTATCTACACACACAATGCCTATCTTCCTCAGTTTGTATGATAGCGACCTAGTAGATTTACCCTTCTTGATCCAGCCGCGCCGACTCAACCTCCACCAGGTGGAATCCTTTCTCGTCCCCTGTCACCTCGTAGCCCCTCCGGCGATGAACTTAGCGCTATGAACCAGTTGTCCGACTTGCGCGACTGGACGCTGAAGCCCGCGGGGGCGCTGCTGTGTGAAAGTCATAGGGTTTGGACTGATTGCCTGGGTACCTCGTCTTCAGTGGTCGCTACGCTACAATAGTACTGGAGGGGAGAACTTGCAGTGTCGGGAACAAACCGGCGGCCAGCGCCGTAAATCTTTGTTTCAATTACTCCATTATCGCATCGTTCTCACTGGTCTCCTTCACCCTCAGCGCGAGAGCCGCCCCCACATCCTCGCCCTTGCTCAGGGCCTCGGCCTTCTGCCGCAGCTCCGCGGCCTTCTCCCGCTTTCGTTTCACCTCCGCCTCCTCCGCCGCGGCCGCCCTTTCGAGGCGCTCGGCCTCGCGCAGCTGTTGCCGACAGGAAAAAATATTAGTTTTGCTTCGAACCAACCTGTCAATGCGGTCGGTTGGACTTACCAGCGCCTCACCAGAGATGGCCTTGCTCTCCAGCCCTTTGCGGGCCTGCCGCTTCTTCTGAATCTTCTTCTCATCTTTTTTTCGCAGAGCCCGGGGGCGATTGTCGGCGGGGGCCAGAATGGTGGCCCGGCCACCCGCGTTCACGATGATCTGCTGAGTGTCCGTCAGACATGCGTGCACAACAGATAAGGCAGTGACAAATGGTTGCATACTTGTTGGGCGGCAGGCATAGCGGTGGTGGTGGTGGTTGTGTTTGTCGTTGTGCTTGCGCTTCATCAGCTTGGACAGGCAACCAAATGTCACCAAGATGGACTTCCTACCAGTTCCTACCAGAGGGATGATGATCTGGGACGAAGAGAAAAAAGACAAAGGGGAGTTCGAAAGAGAGGCTGGAATGCGAAGCCATATATACACGCAGCGACCTGGGAAAGCCGCTTCCCCCTGGGGGGCAGAATCTCTCTGAAAAGCCATGGATTGTTTTCTCTATTGTTCCGGTCGACTATAAACGTGTTGCAGACATTGAGGGTCAGGGAATCAGGCTAGTTGATTCTTGTGTTTAAGGCCTATATTATTAGTGTACTGATTGTTCCATTGTGGTCCTTTCTTGGTGGGCATCAAGGATGGCCGGTGTTACGGTCTCAGGCTTCGGGCGCTTGGCCATTGGTTAGCACTTTCGGAACTCGCTTCCCGTCAAATCGGGAGGCTATGCCTCTCGAGCTCAGAATTGATAAATTCGAATCGAGCGGGAATTGGATGGGAATGTTGCCGGATGCCTCCTCAACAAATGATACCTTGATGACGTAGGCAAGGGAGGTATAAAAGGCCTGAGAGGGGAACATGCATGGGCAGAATATGTATTGACGGCTCTTCTATCTTATCACCTTCGGAGAATAGTGTTTTACGCTTTTTTCGTCATGTTTTCACTGCTACAATTTAATGCAGACTTCAGTAACAAGTTTGGCCTCGGCTTGTGCACTTTGTGTGGGGGTGCAATCCGAGAACACCTCCCGTGGAAAAAGCCCTTCAGGGCCGGTGAGCTGCGTGATTACCCGCGTGAGATGTATATGTGTTCTTATTTAGGCTGACATCAGTCCGAGTTTATTGCACCAACTTCGGCGTCAAAGTGACCCAGATCCTCATGGCAGCCCCATGGTCGCTGGGGGGACCAACCGAGGGGCGAATACCAAAAGACACCGAGACTGATGATAGCTGGGGCTTGGGTGATGTGCCTGCACATCGCCAGACCGACGTGTACCTCATCCATGATGTATGCTGGCATCGTCTGCTGGGACATTTCGGCCCCAACGAACTACACCTAGGAAGTCTTTTCGAGGCATTGGAGCTGTTACCCTATACGCCGGGCTATTCTCACCGCACATGGAGGCCAGAGTCACTCCTATTCCTCCGCACGAGCTTTGAACATCAAGATATCCGGCATGATGGCCGGTTCGGACTGCCTGTATTGGAGGAGCTCATGCGCCTCGGGAGAGACCCCCCTCCGGCTGCTCCGTCTACCCACCCACGACGGCGACCGGGCAGGGATTGCTTCCAGCGTCTGCCCCTGGAGATTATCGAAGCGATCGCCATCTTGCTACCGGCCCGGGATGTTTTGCATCTCCGTTGCGCGTCACGCGGATTTGTAGCCATCTTCTTCAGCCGCGCGTTCTGGAAATCGAGATTTGAGATCAATTCAGAACGCGGATTCCTGTTGCCCGTTCTCCGCAACTACTTTGAGAGAAGGGGGGGGAGGCAGGCGGAGCGAGAGATGGACTGGAGGCTGCTCTACCACTGCACCTGTAAGCTGAGCTGTAGTTGGGGATTTCGCCTGGAGATTGGTACGTGGGCGGTGCTACGCTGGATTCGCGACACAGCCATGGCTCTACATGCCGGGCGGCCTCGCCCACTCGACTTCCGCGGGATGGGCCTCTATCACTATGATAATTCCCTCGAACGGGGTACCTACCGGGAAGTGGTCGATATCCACGCTCCAGTATGCCAGATTGCGGTGTCCGTGATGCACGAGACTGCACGGCCTTCCGTCACTGGATTGGAGTTCTTCTTCGAGGATGGATCCAGAGCCAAGTTGGGCTACTCATGCCGTGGGGCAAGGGAGATCCATGGAGAGACACGCTGGAAACACGAGGACATGCCTAATCCGTACTTCTATCCCGGGGTTCGCGTAACGATCGACATCGAAAACTTCCATGGGTTTTCCGTAGGCAGAGATGAGGCCAGTGTGTGCGGTGTTCTGATTTTGCCCGGCATGGGCTACGGTGTAGGCAGTTTCGATACCCTCGAGCGCTTCGCAGTCGGCGATTACATACAGCCCCGGCCATACCACCCTTGCTACAGCTCTCTTGATGAAGTATACCAAGTCACCGCGGTTTCCGATGTATGTCCCATTCTTGTCTTTCTTGGTTTTCGGTCGTGTACATCGTATTATGGTTGTTATGCTGACAGTGCCCCGGGGGTTGTTAGTCTCATAAGATCATTGATCTAGGAGTGCTGGGGAGAGGGCGAAGACGCCTCAGTCAGATATCCGAAGAGAGATGGCAGGAAGTAGCCGAATGGCTCAAGAGGGTGGAACAAATACCAGCGCACTGGAACTTGAGATGAGCTTCGAGTTTTAGGCTGATTGCTGGTCCCTGATGTGACCTCATTCAAATTCTGTTGCTCGAGTAACTAGTACTTCGTTTTCATGTGCTGCAGCACAAAGGTCTGCCATAATCCTAAATTGTTTCGAAGACGTATCCCCTTGTCCATTGAATCTTTTTATAGATGCTGTTTGTTCTTACAAGAGGGTTGCCAGTCTAAAACGCCGCTCCCTGCGCGGTTCTGCCCATCAGGTAACGAGAAATCAGCTCAGTTATGGTGGTCGGTCAATTGTGGAAAATTGCCATTCGTGCTTTAGTTCGCTCGCCAAACATAGGAAATGTGACTTCGTTATGGTCCTGTTCGAAATGCTGCCCACTTGAACCGTGAGATTGGCATACCTCAGGCAGCGGTGGCATCACGGTTTGCTTCGATTGCGAGTCAAGAGGCTTTCTCCCTACATGTGATCAGATGCCGCATGTAATGTGATATCCCATCGAGATGGTGCGCGTCCTTACTGAAGCTCTATATCTGGCTCTCTTCACCTCTTAGCGATGGGAGGGAAAGAAGAAAAGAGAAAGCTACACATTGTATCTGTACAAGTGCAAAAGTCTAGTACTAAATGAAGTATTATGATTTCTTTCCTATTTTGCCTTCTAGTAGGTTATTCCTTCGGCCTTTCTTCTATATTTTCCATTTCTAAGCTGTATACTACTACTCTCAGATATAAAAGGATTTTGTGGAGATCTGTAGGGATTCATAGCACCGCTTGAGAATGGGAAAGCGCTTCACAGAGGGTACTGAAATCAAGGATAGACGCCCACTTAAGCGAGAAAACAAGCAACCATCAGGTCAATTTGGTGGGCAGGAAGGTTAATATTTCTTCAGATACCTGTTGATTCTGTTGCCAATCCTAAAAGTTTATTTTTCGAGAGGTCAAAAACAAGCCAACGCTGTACCGCACAAAAGGAAAACCAGGTAGAGTAACAGATGAAGGATACACCAAGTGAGAATCAAGTCATGTTGTGCTGCCGTCTGAAACAGCGCATGAAAAATTCACCTGCCTTGAGTCAATAAATGTGTTATAATACTTGACACGGGCATAGAACACTCTCGTGGCTAGTTCAAGTCGCATGGGATATATTCCTGGCTTTGGTCCCAGTCTGGAATTTTAGACATATCTTTTTCTCTCCAACAAATCCCTCGTACACGTGTTATTCATCTCCAAAACCAGACCATTCTTCGAAAAGCAGGCCTTTTCGTTCGACGAGCTTTTGACAATTGGACCAAGATGGAAATGCAAGTGCAAGTGCCAGTGCCAGAACTCCCGTACTCAGAGGTACCCTATTACCAAGATGTACGTGTGATCCGTATGTATATGAACGTTCTACATCCTGCGCGAGTTGGAATTCAGCCATATGAGCAAGCAGTGGACAACTTCTGGCTCAATGTCTTCCAAAACTACTTTCCGCTCCAATCCCGTTATGGCGTGGAGCGAGAGTCGTATACCAACCGGCAGGGCAGATTCACAGCCAATGTGCTTCTGACCAGAATCATGGGCAACGAGTTGCAGAAGGTGGTAATCGTCGAAGCTAAACGGTTTCCCCCAAACCCTCGGCCGGGCTGGGAGCAAAGTTACAGGTGGAGGCAGTTGGAGAATCAGCTGCAGAACCGCCTTGCCGGCGTCCGTACTGCCAGTAGGACCCAGCATACCCTGTACGGCATTGCAGCTGTTGGTGACAAGGTCCGATTTTATCAACTGCGAAGGAACTCACACCAAATGGTCCCCTTTGGTACTGATCCTCAGAACCCTCCATCTGAAGCGCGCATCCTGAGCATCCACAGAGACCAGAATGAGATAGATTGGCGAATCAGGAGCATCAGGAAAAGTTTTGGGCACTAAGCGACGACACCGGGGATGATGCTCTGAACATCAGCAGGACTAGGTGACGGCTTCTTCTGAGCCTGAACCAGGGGCCTGTATCAGCAAGGCTAAGGAGCGGTTCTGCGAACCAAACCTCAGGACTTGTAGCAAGCTATCGGTTTGCTGTCGTCGCGTTCAGAAGCCATCATTCCTCCCCTGGAGGACTCTGGAAGTCCCTCCGGGGCATCCTCTCTTCGGTAGCGCCGGGGGCAGGGAGCCTCGGAGAGGTTTCTGGGAGAGATACGCACATCAAACGAGCGGTGAGTGTTCGACAATGTCCTTCCGCCCCCCTCGCCTCCTCCCTAAGAAGCTAGCGTACACGGACCCTGAGCCTGGCAGACTCTTTCCCAGACACGAAGAAGCCTCATGCACACGTTCTACCGCAGTCACTCAGCGTTCTAGGCCAACTGATCTCGAATTCTCCCTTCGTGTTAGTCACTCGCCAGCTAAAGCTAAAGGCCGCAGAACAACAACCGCCGGAGTGATCAGCACAGCTCTTTATTTCCCTCGGTAGTCCGCACGGTGTTCGATACACGGCTATATGTGTTGAGCGGTGTACTCCACTAGTTACTTTAAGAGAATCCTTTTGCTCATATCCTTTGATCTCAGACAACTGACTGCGTGTGAACTCCATACCTATGGTTGCAGGGGGCGCTTTGTGGCCTCGACCCCCCTTTCCCCTAGTTACGGCAGTCCCTTGTCCCGTTTGAGATATCTGCATCAGATCTTCCCTTCCCGCCCCCCCTCCCCCGCCAACCTGGGAATCAACTTCCGCGCATTTCCAAAATAAATCCCCTCGCGCATCTCCTCCGTCATCTCGCACCCTTCCAGCTCCTCCAAGAAAGCCGGATACGCCGGCAACGGGGCGTACGGGAAGTCACTCTATCGACACAGTCAGCGCACGCAGATAAGCTCTTTTACCCTTTTCCATTCCCTCCCCGAAAGAACAAAAGCAGACAGAACGGAGAGGAAGGATAACCCACCCCATAGAGAATCCGATCCGCCGGCACCATCCGCCGCAACACCTCGACGACCTGCGGCGCCGCCGACAGCGCCAGATCGAAGTGAAAGCTCCGGAAATCCGCCATGACCTGCTCATAGGTCGTGCCGACGACATACTCGGCGGCCAGATCCGGCGCCTTGCGGAGGGGCGTGGCTAGCCGGGTGATCAGATACGGGAGGGTGCCGCCGGCGTGCGAGAGGATCACCGTGCAATCCGGGTACTTGCGGCGAGTGCCCCGCAGGATCATGTCCATGGCGGTGCGGGTGGTCTCGTGCGGGTAGTCGACCACGGGCTGCGGGAGGTGGGCGTTGACCGGCGTAGTGTCGGCCGGGTGGGTCGGGTGCACGAAGACCACGCACTTGCGGCGGTGCAGCTCCGCCCAAATCGGTTCGAGGGATGGGTGGCCCAGGTAGGCTTGCGTGGCGGCGGAGGTGCCGTAGCGCGTGAATAGGGTGACGCCGTCGGCGTGCAGGATGTCCAGGGCGTACGCAAGTTCGGCGAGCGCGGCGTCTGGGTGTAGAAGGATGTCGGGCAGGTTGGTGAAGAACCCGTAGCGGTCTGGGTGCTTGTCACGCAGGTCTGCCGCGTACTCGTTCAGCTGCCGCGCCAGCTTGTACGAGGCTTCGCCTTGAAGGATGCAGGCCCCGGGGGCTGTGGTCGAGAGGATCGCTGTGCGGATCCCTAGGCGTTTCATGAGGAGCTCGGAGCGGAGTGGGCTCCAGCTGGGCGTGGGCCAGCCGCTTGGGTCGCCTTGGTTGTTGGTTAGTTTAGCTTATTAGAACATTCTAGTGGTGCATTAAGTCCGAGCGCATACCTCCTGCTGCCTCAACGGCTGTGCGATGGAATTTCCCAACGTTAGTAGTTGTTACGGTGTCGGGATTAGGGCTAGGCTGTACGAACCTTCCCGGTAGAACGACGGCACAAAATGGTGGTGGGTGTCGATCTTGTTGACGGGCGGTGGGTGAGTCCAAGCCAGGATCTTCCCCTGCAGCCAATCCATACCGTGGTCCGTCATGATGTTGAGCTTGGATTTCCAGGTCCAGGGTAAAAGCCAATTGAACAAAGCAAGCAAGAACCTATAAATCATTCGATCACGACAGGTGGTGATGAAGATGATTGAGAACACTACCTCAAGGCAAGTGACATGGGGTCTTCTTATTAGAGTCAATCTAGGGTGTATGTGTATATCGGGTGCGTTCCGGCCGCCGCCCGGGCGCTGCCGAACGTTCCGTAGCCGGAATTGGCCCCGTCTGCGGAGTACAACTCAACACAATACATCATAGCTACAGAATCTCCAATCCACACCCGCTACTCCCTGGAAATGATATCATCGACCCTAGACAAGCTTCCCCGCGACCGGATCGATCTTCTGCCGGCCTTTGAAGTCCACCGCCAACGATTGTGAGCGATCCAGGATGAAACTCTGGAGCCATTCCGGTGCACCTCGCTGTTTCGCATTAACCCAGAATCAGTATCAACACGTCCCGCATACAAGAACCGGAGATGGAACTATGGATCGATGCTTACAAATCCAGCAAAGAGCCGAAAGATCCCAGGTAAGAAGATGGTCCGGCTCAACCCACTGACCAGAGTGTCGACAATCGCATCCACCACTGTGTCCGCATGCAACAAGGGCATGAAGAAATGGGATTGATTGGTTTCCCCCTTAAACATCGGCGTCTTGGTAAAGCTCAGGACCAGCAGCGAAGTTCGGATTTTGGGAGCATTGTGGCGAAATTTGAGCTCTTGAGATAGACACTTTGGGGAGAGTTAGTTGGCGGACAAGAGTGGGTGCCGGGTCTATCCCGGGGGTAAAACATAATAGACAGTATATACCTCATGGAACGCGATCAATCCGGCCTTTGAAGCCGCGTAATCTGCCAGCCCCGCTGGAGGTATATATGCACTCATTGATGAGACGTTAATAATATGGCCATGCTGGCGGCGGATCATGCCGGGAAGGAATTCCTTGGTCAGTAGGAACGGGGCGAGGAGGTTCGTCTTCAAGGTGATGCTGGTATCATGGTACGTCCCTTCGGCTACGGTTTGACCGCGTGAGAGGCCAGCATTGTTGACTATATTCGGAACAATGTCAGCTAAAACCCTACCTCTTCCTGCTTGTGGCTTTCTGGCTTTCACTCACCCAAGACAGATGGATCGCCAACTTCAGACCGAATCGTCTCACAAAGGAATGCAATCTCACTCTCATCACTCAGATCGCATTGATAATAGGTAATACGGTCGTTCTCTGTTGGTTTCCGTAAACCATAGCGATTTGCATCGGTTAGCACGTCTTCTAGTGAAAATTCCCGGTCCAGGCCCACTAATGAGAAATCACTGACCGGGCACGTAAGTCAAAGGGATAATATCGACAACCACGACACGGGCTCCGAGTGCCGCCAAGCGCTGAGCGACCCCGGCCCCCAGCCCGCCACTACCCCCAGTGACCACCACAATTTCTTTCGTCCAGTCATCATTCCAGGTATCATCGATGGTCCAGTTGTTTCGGCTTTGCCTACTGAGAAACGTGTTGAGCCAAAGGAAGACACTGGCCATGGCGAGGTATTGAGCGAGTTGCGTATAGAGAGGCGACGCTATCCTTGCCTTCTGCACAACGCACCAGACAGGGATGCTAAAGATCGGATGCAGAATTGTGTTGCGCAGGCCCGTGATGATCGGATCAATGTACAATCCCTCGCGCGGGAGGAATTTTCTTTCGGAAATAATCATGTCTCAATCGTCAGGCGAAGATCACACATAACTGAGATTTGTTGTTTGCAGTGATGGTATAGACCATGGGGGTCTTCTTTCTTCCCAATATAAATGATCCACAGTGAGATCTGGGGGGGATTGCCCCGGATCCGAGATCAAGGCACGAAAGCGGAGGAAGAGGAAGCAATACCACATGAATACCGATAGTTACCGGAGACAAACAAATTACCCGCCCGGGAACTTTCCGGTTCTTTGTAACCGTGTACTGTGACGGTGTCAACCCGGCGACGGGTGAAGAAGGTCAATGCTGAGCGCTGCCATAACAATTTCATTTGCTTGGGTCTCCCGACCAGAATTCGCTACTCCCCAGCCACGGCGGCAAGTCTGGGATATCCACCCACGAAAAGAGACCAAGGTTTTCTGCACTCAGATTGTCATCGGCCGAGTATGAAGGCAGGGTCGAAGTCAAAGAGCTCCCTGGTAATTGCTCCGAGCCAGGCAAGTCCGCATCTCGATGGATAGTGGCAGTGCAAGGCTCTGCAGCAATTCTACTTGTGTCGGCGGCTGCAGTCACACTTGGTTGAGGAGATGGCTGACAGCGGCTAGCGACTTGGTTATAGGTGGTCCGCAGGAAGTGGAGAGAGGTTCGCGCCGAATGGCTGTAGGTCGCCATGTCGCCAAGGATCCTTTCACATTTGGCCCAGCTTTCTTCGATCAGGGAGGGGCCTACCGACTGCAACAGCGATGGCATCGAGTAGGACATGACCAAGACGAGTGCAGCGGTGGTTGTATCTATATCACACAGTTTCAATCAGGAAGGGAGAAAGGGAAGGAAGAAATGAGGAGTCGTCTTACAGAAACCATTGTACCACCATGCACCTGTAAAGGCAGTCCAGCAGGTGTCGTAGACCGCTTGAATAAGATCAACAGCAGTTAAAAGGCAGGTCTCGGCACATGTATCCGCAATGCAGGAGTAAAGTGCATTGTCGGTATCTTTCGTGGCCGAGACACGGCCAGGACCACTCTCATCTCTATGAGAACTGTGTGGGGCTACTTCTGAGTAGCACTGAGTGAAGATACGTCGGTATAGCAGGAGGCGGATATGACAGTACCTGCACACTGTACATCAGAAACTTGGGACAGGAAGGACTCGGGGAATTCTGTTTCGCTCACCGTACGTGGAGGACATTCCGCTGTCGTTCTAGGATCGGGGAAGGCTCTGTGGCGCCACATGTCGACCCTAGTGCAGTCCAATTGAGATATGGTGGTAGACCAGCCTTGTAGATAAGAAGCTGTTTCTCCAGCTCGATCACATTATCTATGTTCAAGTCTTTCGAGAGAATGGATGGGGTAGAGTCCTCCTCCAATTGGCTATTCCATGTACGATACACATCGGAGAGGATCTTGCCGAGAATCTGATGTAGTTGAATTGACGCACCATAGAAGCTCATTTCCGATCGTGCTGCTTCGCGTTCAGGGGAGAAAGAAGCGTCTAACGGACGCGGCAGTGAAAGAAAGGCAAGATGACTAGTCATGCTGGGTCGGCCATGTGTCATGCTGACTAGACTAGATGCAACACATGCCGTCAGGGAGGACGTGTGGGTTAAGGATGGAGTGGGGGCCACTTACATGTCGAGCATTACACAGCCATGCCATGTTCGCCGGCGTACATCGCCTTCCAACGAAGTGCAGGGAAAGCGACTGTCATTTTTGTGCAGGCCCAGCCCCTGCGCTATTCGACATGCCAAGCCGATCGCATTCCAGCATCGACTGGGGTACGGAGTGCTCTGTAGGTATAGGGCGGTGAGCAGAAGCGTCTGGACTACCCCGATCGTGTTATGCTCCAGAATGTCTAGACCAATAAATCGTTTGCTGCGCAGAAAGAACGAGTGGGCAGTTGACTCTCGTTCTTGAATTGGGATCTCCGCAAAATGACAGGCCAGCGCGAACATGGCGTTCAAAGCTGCATGAAACACTATCGACCTGGGACCCGAATCGAACTGCCCACCCAGCCCGATGTTAAGTTTCGACAGTTGATTCATGGGCTCTTTCTCGGATTTCCAGAGGTTCTGGTACGCCATTTCAAAATTGGGCCGGTCAAAGAAGGGGTATATGCAAGCTACCCGGTCCCAGTAGCATTCAAGTAGCTGGTCAGCCACCGCACGAGGGGGTAGTGTATAGTCATCGGGTCGATAGCAGGTATTCGGAGACTCCTGGAATCCATAAGTAGGAGTGCCTCCCGAGTCTGCGCCAATCGTCCCTGATGAACGTGGGGGTAGGGTCATCCGCGCGAAGCGCATGAGTGAGGCAGTGGAGGGGGACCCATAGTACTCTTTAGCGGGTACAGATACAGGCGTACGCGAAAATCCGTCCGGCGCGGATATCTGGCCCATGCCCGTAACATGACCAGGGCTTTCGTAATGCGGCGATGCAGAACTGGGGGCTTCCGAAGCGACCGTTTCTCGTGGATTGTGATATTGTACTGTCTCATTCACATTGGCGGTAGATTGTACATCTTGAAGGGCACAATTGGGTTGATCTGTATTGCCCAGCCAGTCGGTGCTTCCCGGTGCCCCTCCAACCTCTTGCGATGAGCCTGGAGACTGGTGCACATGATGTTGTTGTCCTGTTGGAGGATTCACGCCTGAAACACCTTCTCCCATTGCAGATAATGACACCCCAGCTCGAGCACAGGCATTCTCAAGTTCCTGAATCCGTGAATGCAGGGCGCGCATGTACCTGAGCCACGTGGGACGCTCTTTCAGCAACAGCACGTGTAGTGTCAAGAATTACAACTTACTCGTCTTGACTCGCGGTTCTAGCGCTATCCATTGTATACACGCACTCGCGAGCGCCATGGGGACGTCGTAAGCATGGACCACATGTGGGTTTCACGCCATCGCACCGAGTCTTCTTCTCTCGGCAAACATCGCAGGCGAGCGCGATCTTCCGACGCGAAGCGCGTTGCGGCTTGTTGACTCCGCCTGTCTTGGGAGGCATGCTGCAGGTAAACAAAAGACGAAGCACAAGCGCTGAGTCGATGACAGGAGGCGGATTGAGCCGCGCTGTTGTCTTTCAGTTCGGTTTGGGGTTGGATTGCGGGGCTGGGGAAGGATATAAGCATCAGTACGTCAGTCAGGGGAGGTGCCGAGAACCGCGGCGCGGCGCGGAATGCAGAAAGCGCGCCCCACTTGGAAAAACCAGTTCGTGCGGGGGGGATCAACTCAGTCCTCTGTTTCTCAAGCTAATTTGTGTTGGCCTTCGATTACATCGAGGTTTTCCTGGGACTGTGAATGATCGCAGGACTACTCCTTGATTAGTAAACTTATTTTCTGCTTTACTGATCCATGGTTGAGGGCTTCCGTTTATTGATTATGGGGTCGCTCCCTCAATATATAATGCAACTACATGAACAGATTTTACAACTATGCACAGCAATTCCACGCACGATGAAAGTGAATATAAAAGCAATTGCATTCCTTAGATTTACGCGTCACAACAAATCAAGCGCCCAATTCTTTGACGAGGTCGAACGGAATCAGCTGCAAATACCGCCTCGACACCCCGAGAAGAGCTACAAGGAGAATCAAAAGCAGGATCCGCGAACCTGTCCGTTTTTTCGGACCGATTGTCCTCTGCCACTATATCACAGCTCCTGTCAGTAAGTAAAAAAATCGCAGGGAGTCAAAGGCCGCCCTACTTTAATCTGCCAATCCGACCACGTGGGGAGCAAGCTGCGCCACCAGAAATGGGCCTGCGTCCAAGGATAAGACATCGAATTCCACTTGGATTCGTTTAGGTACCACTATTTCAAAGATGAAGGTAAGTTGTCAGACACATCCAGGGGCACAAGGTAACGTAGGCAGAGCACACTTACCGAGACACAACCAGCGTTCCACACCCGCCTTCGCAGTGCCTCCTGCACCCAGTACACATAACCTCTTTCGGCTTCCTGCTTGATTTCCACAGCCGAGGCAGAGCCGCTCAAGACGGGTTTCAGGATCCGAAGAGCATAATTGATAGAGCTGCCCGATCGGTGCAATGTTAGAAAAGAAACCATTGAAGATGAGGATAAGAAGGACAATACGCACTTCTCCGCAGCCATCAACGCTGAAGTATGGCCCGTGGCCGCATTCGGTCCAAGCAACAGAAAGAAATTCGGAAATCCGCTTATGACGGAGCAATTGTATGCGGACGGACCGCCATACTGGGCCCAGTGTTCGCTCAGGCTCACCTCGTTGCGACCGACGATGTTCATGTACGGGGCAAAGGTGTTGGTCTCGAAGCCAGTGGCAAGCACAATCACATCTGCAGCAATTATATTTCCCTGCTTTGTCTGGATACCTTCGGGGATGATCTTGTCGATTTGGGCATTGGTTAACGTGATTTTGTCGTTGTGTAGACAATCAAGATAACCGCAGTCGATAATGCGCCGCTGCATGGTATGAGATTAGTTATAGTATAGCTTTGCTACTGATGGACACGCACCTTGCAGCCGACATCGAAGTCTGGAATTAGCAGGTCATGATACTTAGCCGGGGCAGTGTCCCGCATGTACTTCTCCAGTTTTGTTCTGCGCTGCGCTCGCAATCGGGCTGCTGCTTTGGTCATAGGGAAGAGAAAGTAGTCACTTTCCGCTGCGAGAAAGATGTGCAGGCGATGCAACCTCATAGTGCAGGGGATGTAACGGAAGATCCATTGCAGGAGGGGTGGATATGCGAAATTATGCGTTGGGGAGACCCAGTGTTTAGATCGAACGATTTGCGTCAGTGACCCCACGTCGCCAGCGATGGCGGGCACAATCTGAGCCGCTGTGCCTGTGCACATCAAAACAAGCAAAAGAAATTAGCAGGAGGCCTTGGAAATGCTCTTGTGTTCCTGACGAGTGTTGCCTTACAGCCGTTCCCAATGACAATCACCTTCTTCCCATCCAAGCTAACACTATGGTCCCATCGGGCGGAGTGGAAGAGAGCACCACGGAACTCCTCTGATCCAGGAATCTCGCAGCGACGAGGCTTTACCAGTTGGCCACTGGCAGAGAATAGGATCTGGCATTCGTGGGTGAATTCATGGCCCGTCCTGATGTCCCGTAAGTAGAGAAGCCATCGAGCCGCATCGTCTCTCCACACGCATTGGGTGACTTCGGTGGAGAGAGTCATCTTCTCACGGAGGTGATACTTGTCCAGAACAGAGTCATGATATTGCTTGATCTCTTGATTGGAAGGCAGCATCTTGGTCCAGTTGGCGTTCAACTCGAAGGAGTAACTGTACAGAGCGCTGGGCACGTCGCAGCCGCATCCAGGGTAGGAATTGATGTACCATGTTCCCCCGCTAACGGGATGTCGATCAAAGAAACGGATATCGTCGAAATCGTACCATCGCTTCAAGGTGGCGCCTAGAGCGACTGCTGACAGTCCAGTGCCAATGCAGGCAATTTGGCTGTAGGATGGTATTTCGGGGGATCGGGGGGACAGGGGTTCTTTAGAAGCCATGTTGAATACGGCAAAACTGATACGCTTATGTTTGTATCGGAGAGAAAAAGACTTGTACTGGAGGTAGTGCTAAAGATCTGCTCTGTATATATATGCGCAGCGATTTAGGCACCATAGTATGGCGAGATGGCCTTGGCCGTATCATAGTTAGGGCTCGAGCCGCGGCCGCACGCGACCCCGGATCATGGCCGGATGGGCTTCGGAATGATCCGACCATGCGGGGAACCAGGAACTAAGGTGTGGACTTACTGTTACATGTGATTAACAAAGAGGCTGTAGAGTTCATCAATAAGACAGCCAGCATAAAAGAATAAGAGCTTTAACCGCCAGGTAATACAAGGAGCTTTATCCTATGATTTGCCCCCCCGCATTGACCAAAACCTCATTCCAAGCGCAATATGGCAGCCAGGACGCAGCTTTCTTTCGTGCAAAAAGTGGACTTGATAGCTGCCTTTGCCTTCCGGATCCCTCTAGCCATAGTATTCAACATTCTGAAGACCGCGATTGGAGCTTTAGCTCGAGGTCTTCCGTTCCGCCCGAGCATTCAGAATGCGTGCGCAAGGGCAATCATGGACTCCCTCCATCCCAACCAGATTCAGGCAATTGTTCCGTCTACAATGCAAACCTACACATCCTGGATCCGTCGAAATGCGGAGCGTACCGGATTATGCCACCGGGTTGACACACTGAAGGACGAGATCACTCACCTCCTCTGGCTTGGACCTAAGCGATCCGATAAAGTGATACTGTTCTTCCACGGTAATGGGCCCTCTCTCTCACCCTTCAAATCTATGAGTGGAAAGCGTAATAATAAGCCTTACCTCTTCTAGGAGGAGGATACGTGCTCCCACTTTCAGATGGCCATCTTGACTGGATGGCACATGTGAGGAAGAGCTGCTTGAAAGCCTCGTTGAAGGTCGGTGTTTGCATACTAGAGTACTGTAAGTAGACTTTCTTTGCCCCCTTGAACTGTGCACTGGATTCAAATTTTGTCTCTAACGCCTCTATGCGTCCCCCGCGCTCTCTAGCACTTATTCCTGGACACCGTTATCCTACGCAACTGAGACAAGCTCTTATGGGGCTACAGCATTTGCTAGACCATGGCTACGAACCATCCGATGTATTGTACAGCCTCCAGTTTCTTACCCAATCCACACTAATTGAATATCAAAAACTAGATCATATTTGGTGGAGACTCCGCTGGGGGCCACCTTTCCCTTTCGGTTCTCTCCGCGCTGATGCATCCATACCCACATCACCCTTCCGCCGCCAATACCACCTCCTCGGTGGGGACTCACTCCAGCCGTCTCCGAGGCTGCTTCCTCATCTCGCCCCTTTTATCTCTTGACCTCACTACACCATCCTACCGCCAGCGCTTCAGCGTCGACGTGTTATCGCCCTACGTAGTCCGCACGTTCGGACAATATCTCGTCGACCGCACTCCTTGGCACAAGGAGATCTCGCAGGGCAAAGGCTGGGGCATGGCGTTGGATGTTCCAGGCGAATGGTGGGACAACTTAAAGCTGGTGGTGGACGGGCTGCTCGTCACGGCGGGCCAGGAGGAGATCTTCCGCGACCACGTGGGCCAATTTGTGCAGCTAATCCGGCAGCGAACCCAGGTCGATTTGATCGCCCATATCTCTCTCGACGAGGCCCATGATGCGCCCTTGATGGATTTCATGGCGCATCGGCCGCCCCAGGGCACTACTGAGGTCGTCACGCGGTGGATTGTGAATGCCTTTCAGAAGTAGAACTGAGTGACTTAGTGTTGAGTTACCTGGTACAGTACATGAATGTGATATTCTGGTTTTTAGCTCATACTACAAATGAGAGTAAGCTACTGTAGCGCGGAGATAAATGCCAGGATACCAAATATGCTAAGACGATTAGACTCAGTCTTGGCGCTTACACCTACCAATAAAGAATCTTGGAACGATATACACATGTCCAGAACGACTGTACTTATTTACTTCAAAATTCGAAGTTCATGGGACAATTTGATACTCAAGGCTAGAAGAACCATACAAAAACCAGGTTATTTACAGATCCGTCCAGGTCACTTTCCCTGTGCCGTGGCCAAAACACCTTCCCGCGCCGCCTCCTCTTCAATCAACCGGGCATGTTGACTACTACGAACTGTGACTTTGACTGGAAATGGCTCTGTCGTCAGGTGATGATTGAGCTTTCTAGAATTAATCGGCCCGACCTGTCGCAGATCGCCATAACGTCAGCTACTGAGCCAATCGTAGGTGTCAACATGAAGATAGGAATGGGGGCGATCTTACAGCAGCATAATCAAAGCACATTGCCAGCCTAGCAAGGTTGATAAAGAGCCCACGCTGGGCCAACCGATACCCAACACAAATGCGCCTCCCTCCGCCAAACTGCCACAAGCCATGTGCCACATCTGCCTCATGGCCATCCAGCCAACGTTCCGGCTTGAACTCCTCGGGATCTTCGCACTCATTTCCCACGGGCACCTCATTAATAACAAATCCCACCCCGGCCGGGAACAAGTACCCCTCGAACTCCAAATCGGCGGTCAGACAATGATCCGGGGTGAAGACAAAGATCGGCCGCCACCGCAGCAGTTCCTTGATCACCCCACAGATATATGGCATGCTTTCCATGTCTGCCAGGCACGGCAGACGGAGTGTGCCGGTCTCTCTGTCGACACAAATCCGGTCCACCTCCTCGCGCGCCTTCTGGAACTTGTCCGGGTAGCAGAGCGCTGCCATGGCGAAGGTATTCAGCACCTCGCGGGTGGTGTCGCTGCCGGCCTCGATCAGCTGCATGGCCACATACATGGCCTCCTGATCGTCGCCAGTGAACTTGGTGTCCTCATGCAGGAGCACATCGCGGACGAACGAAGGCGGGGCGGTGCCAGCGTCAACCTGGCGGCGGACGGGCACCCACCACGAGCGGTAGACCTCGTAGTTCCACTGGCCCAGCTTCTCCCACGAGCGGCGCCAGGGCTGCAGCACCCAATTCGGAGTCCAGTGGTCCAGCTCCGGGAACCAGTCGATCCAGCTGGTGCCGATGCTGCCCACGAATCGGGTCACTACGTCCTGCAGGTCAGCCAGCTCCTGGCTGGATTTGTGCAACCGCTCCCCGAGCGCGATCCGGTGGACAACCGAGTTGGCGTAGCGGTAGTGGTGTGCGAACCAGCGCTGTGGCTGGTAGAGGTACTCAGCCACCATCTGCGTGCTCTCCAGCTCCTGCCAGCCGCCGTACTGTTTCAGCGCCGAGCCGCTCAGCAGCGCGTGCATCACCCGGCGCTTCTCCGTCCAGCCCTCCTCCGGCGACAGCAGCAGGGACCGTCCGTGTCGACTGACGATCCCGCTAGAGATGGGCATCGGAGAGCGCCCGTTGGTCAAAGAGCCGCGCTTGGCGATGATTTCTGCCACAACGCGCTTGCTATTCAGGAGGATCCATGTCTTGGTGCCCAGGTGAAGCGTCGTCATCTCGCCGTATTGCGCCATCTCGGTGACCTTTCAGTTTGACAGAGTCGGTCAGTCATTTTCGTGGATAGGAGCATTGGAAGTAACCTAGGAATCTCCCAATTAACTCACCACTTTGTGGTCGTCATCACGGGCGCGATTCTTCAGTAGAGGCAGGCTGCCGAGAATCGGGACCCCCTTCGGGCCCGGCGGCAGCTTGTAGCGCTTCCCACCGGGTCCCCGACGCTTGCCCACTGGCTTGAGCAGCTCTTGAAGGATGTAGAGCGAGACTGCGAGACACACAACAATTGTGCCTAAAATTCGGACTCGGGGATGTGCATCCGCCCATGCCAGAATCATGGACATCATCTTGGTTTGTTTTTGTTTTCGATACAAATGTCTACCTGGTGAAGGAATGAAAGATCATCACTCCACGTCATGCATCAAGTGTTGTATGTGGGTGAATCATTTTTGGGATTGACTAGATAAAAACCTCTTTTCAACAAACTAGACTTGGTGGATGCTGTCCGGAATGCACCCGGCCACACATGGGCCGATAGCATGTCAGGACCGGGTTGTTTCCGATACCGGGTGTTACACCACCGGCCTGCATCCAGCTCTATAATCTTGAGTATGGACGGTTCGTAATTAATCTGGTCCTCTATCTTCCGTACTCTTTGAATTGATCCAGAAGGTATACGGAGTAGGTTGTCTTGATCTCTATTTGTAGAACACTGTATAGTTCCTTAGGTCTTGACGTGATACCTGGAAATCTCTATTCTGTTGCACGAAAGGTTAACAATCAATGCAAATATATTTTAGTTAATGTCCAGCACTCTTTGCGCACCCTCAGACAAAGGCTTATGTATGCCATAGACTGAAAAATATGTTTATGTTTATTGTAAGTTATATCTTTCTTCTCTCCGTGCTCACAAACTCATTTCCAGAGCTCTATCGATCCACATTACTCTTCAAACTAGAATTTCCGGTATCCCTCAATGGTATGTTAGCATATATAGTCCGCTTCATACCTACCTATTTTAGTGATAATACATCTTGCCTTATTGATCTGGTTCTTTGGCAGAAAAGAATTACCCGCCAGGGATCTCTTGAGGTAATTATTTTGCCTTGAGCTGAGTCAGTACCACCGCGAGGACAGTGGAAGAAAAGTGAATGTATATCAGTAAAAAAGAAAGAAAAACAGACATAACAGTGCTCATGCACTGTCAACTGCTACCACCGCAACAACCTTCTATCTCTTCTCGCGCCTCCCGCCCGAGCTCCGCATTATCATCTGAGAATTCGCATGGTTCAGTCCTCGTCTGCACCACGCGGTCAGACTCTGTCCCGCAGAGGAGTGTCAGTGGAAGCTATACTGCGGCGACGATTCCGACCCCGCTTACAAGGAGATGAAACCCGCATCGCTGAAGATTGTGATGCCCGCGATGACGGCGGCGAACCGCGAGGCGCGCACTCTCTCTCGGAAGTTGATCAAGCGCTCCTTGCACGAGTATTTCCAACCGTGTCCGACGGCCACACTACCACCCAGTGACGAATCAGACCCTTGGCTGGCGTTCGACTGGCGGACGCGTCGCTACGCCTCCGACACGGTCGTCTACCTGTCGTCCGCGGAATTCGAAGTAATCCTCCTTGCCAGGAGCAGGTGGGAACATTCGCGGTCGCGGTTCTTTGAGACAATCGCGGTGCCGCTGGCGCTGCTCCAACGGCACCCTGAGGCGTTGCGCGTGCTGGGCAAGTACTTCACCCGGCCCAGTTACGTGATGGTGGTTGTGAATGATTTGGATGGCCGGCAGGGTCAGCAGGAGCAGGGGCAGGAGCGGCAGCATGAACGGCTGCAGAGCTGGTGGAGCCAGTTCGTGCTGTGAAATAGCGGCGCGGCTCAGAAACAAACACAGCCGCAGCAGCAGCACGAGAAGAAGAAAGGCTGGTGGGTCGATATCTCGTACTGGGCGCAGGGAAAGTATCTTGGACCGGATCCGCCTACCGCCGGGGTTGGGGATTGGATTCATGAAGAAAAGGCCATGTTCACTGGGCAAGTCTACCACACTATCCAACAAGCGTATCGGCGGGTTTACACCTTGGATCGTTCGCAGCTTCGAATCCGGCCGGTTCGGGCCTGTCACAAAGAGGACGGCTGGATTGGCATGGCTCCCGGGAGCAGGTATAGCGGCGTGGACATGGCCCTCCAGGTCTCGCCGATCGAGCCCCTGTTGCTGACAGCGCCGTATGAGATATCTCTGTTGGGTTAGGAACTAGCGTACCAGGCGATGTAGATTTTCTTGTGTCAGGATATGTCCAAAGTCCAAAGTAGTGTTATCCCGGCACCCCTTTGTCTTGACTTGAAAAGACCAGGAGAGTCAAGCTTTGTCATATTTGCGGGCTTCTTTGTCTCCCCTTACTCTGTTCTCCGCAAACGCGTAGACCTATCTGTCCAAACTCATCACCTCTTGCGCGTAACTGAAGTGAGCAACGGATAAATCTGCTCACTGCCAGCATGGATACATTTATGTGACAGAGAAAGTGCCCTCAATTTGTATGGTGATATCTTGATTATACATATCAAACTTAATAAGGTACTAGTCAAAGCCTAAGTGTAACTATTTATGAACAGTTTCGTTATATTGCTATCAATAGGAGCCAATATAGCTTCTAAGATACGTTTATTATGCCGCAGAAGGACCTTTTCGATTTAATATACGATCAGTAATATGATTGATTATACTCAGCTTCTCCCATCCAGCTAAGTATGTATTGACCAGTCGAACATCAACACAAGAACCCCTGGCCCAAAGTCTCGGCATCTACCTCCAGTAGCCCCTACTGAGGGGGCTTGCGCAGGAATCCACCGCTGGGAGTCAAAGACCGGATTTCAGGGGGGCCAGTCAACTTATTCTCCTCCTTGCCCTTGGCAATAAAAGCCTGCAGTTTGGGGGAAGACCGGTGTTCTTCGGCAGCAGCTTGGTTCGCAAACCTATGGGCGATCTGCATAAGCTACGGTCTTCTCCTCTGGAAAGGATACTTCTTCTCGTGCCAAAGAAGAACACTTACACGACAGTAACCCCAATGGTCGTGGGACCCTCACCGCCAATCTCCTTGATGGAGTGGGCCTGGGCGATCGAGAAGACGAGAGTGCCAGGCTCGTTGGCTTCGATCCATTTGGCAAGCTTCGACAGCTCGGAACAGATCTGGACCATGCGTCAGAACACTACTGTCGGTGAGAACTGCTGGGAGGTCATAGATGGAATGTACCTCATCAATATGTTCAGGCTTGGGGGTCAGAATCAATGCCCCGTGGATGAGGTTCTTGTCAACATCGGCGACTTGGAAAGACATTTTGAATCGGGTCAGATTCAGGATAGACTGAAGAAGAGAGAGAGAGAGAGAGAGAGAGAGAGAGATGAAAAGAAAATGTTAGAGGAGTGATGGCTGTTGGAATGAGAAGAGCGCAAAAGTGCAGGGATCTATCTGTATTTATATAGACACGAGGAAGGAGCAGGTGAATAATCGACGGTCTTCCTCTCGACCCAACCCCTGAATAGCCCATTCCGGCTACGACATGAAGCCAGAAGGCAGACCTCATAGCCAACGTCAAAATGCATGCAGCCCCTTTTCGGTGCAAAGTGTTGTTCCACCACGCTGACCGCTTCTTTGTTGTATGATGTCGTTGTCGTTGTCGGGATGATGGTTGGCAGCTATGGATAGTCGATACGAGTATCCCCAAAGTGGTTGATGATTGGTTTGGATGTTATACTAGTCCCACCTCCCTTTAGCTTGACTTCTTCTTCAAGCACATCAGATCCTCCGAGGACTCATAAGGTCATACTCCGGAGTACATGCTCTGGAAATCAGTGGGACCAGCATGACGGAGATTAATAACCAGTCTTTCTTATTGGCGGTCAGATCCCGAACCACATACTGAAAGGTTCGCGTCCTACAGTGACATTACGGGGAAATAGGCCCGTATCACATGATACATCGGGTCGATATGGATCTAGGCCAAGTGACCGATTCACTGGCTAGCTGTTGTAAATAGTCCAGTACTAGATAGGTATACTGTCCGCTGACTTAGCAGGTCCGCCAAGTAGATCAGGCGGGATTGCGGGGACGGATCGCTCTCGACTATCCGTCCCGAAAACTTCTGAGGGATATACCGAGTAATAGGGTGATTTGTAACTTTAGTTAGTGCTACTGATTAATAAATCAGTTCAATGACCGAGTAGTCCTTAGCTAATCAACAGCGTCCTAGGGTTGACTCAGCGGGACTGGATCCGGCAGCCGGGCGGAGTCCAACTAGTCTACTCCGTAATCTCTTCCGATTATGTCTTGTCGCATAGCTTCTCCACAGGCCAGGAAGGGTATTGTTCTTAGAAAGAAAAGAGGTATTGTTCTCCTCGCGTCTGGCCGAGCATGTCAAACGATGAGAGGGTTGGCGGTCGGCGAGTAGCTGAATGTGTCAGACCTTCAGTTGGGTATAGTACAAGATAAGCTCGTCCATGGTTCAACCGCGGTGTGGCACCTGGTGTAGATAAATACCTTAATGAGCGATCCAGTCTCAATGAGTAGAAAAGTTTCTTCAGGGTTGGAGAACCAGATCAACTCAATTCTACTAGTCGCAAAATTGGGAATAGCAGTCTCTCTCTCACGGGGGCTCGGGATGGTTTCCGGAGCATGAAGCTTCCGGCTGAATTTATTCTCGAGACCAGCCTCAGGAGGCGGTTATACATCTCATACAGCAAATCGGAAGAGCCGGGCGACTGTGCGTACTTCCCAACGAGTGGGTTCCGCTTAGTCATCGTCCTGTGGGCATAATTCCACTAAGTCTAGGGTAAATAAAGTCAAGAATGAGCGAGGGGTGTCTGGAACCTCTGGTAACAATGCGGCCGATAGTGTCAAAGTGAGATCGATCAAGGCACAATGTAGGTAGAATAGTGTCTATTAGATATCGGCGAGCTGCAAGACAAAACACATGACTCCTGTTAAGTACTAATGGTTCTAAGCCAAGCACATACGACCACAGGGTGTGGAGAACAGGGCTTCCCGTCCGCTCAGCCGTACTTAAGCCACACGCCGGGAGGTTAGTAGTTGGGTGGGTGACCACCAGCGAATCCCTTCTGTTGTATGTTTTTGGTTATTTTTTAGATTGTTTTTCCCCCTAGCTGATCGGCAGTACACATACATCAACATACGTAAACACCCTGAGGAAAAAGCTTGGTTGGATTGAATTGCAAAATAGAAAACTAATGATCTTTGGCGAGTAAGAAGTGGCTGAGCCGAAATCATCATTGCGGAAGGTGAGAAGAGGGTTTATACACGAGATGTGTCCTCAGTATGCTAGAAGTCGAAGCATTCCTGAATGATATTGCTCTTTGAAAACATGATTAGGTATTTTGCTCGGTTGACTACACAAACTGAGCCTTGTTCCCAGATGACTTCTACAAGGATATCATACTAGACTCGAGATTTCATAGACGCTTGCGACTGAATCAGCCGTACTTGCGGTTGCAGTGAAGGTCTGAATTCAGTGTTCCCAACCAAACCTGTAGGACGCTTTGACGACCTGGACCTGACGATCCAAGGTTTCTTGGTCTAGGAGCATGATTGTGTCAATTTTGCACTCATCCTTTTTCGAAACATGTTCTGCGAGCAACTGGATGACCACAAAGACAGTGAAAGCTTGAAAACCTGGGCCCACCATATGGGTGGATGGCCAAAAGAGTCGGGAATGCTAGCATCAATCGTCGGGCATTCTAGCAGCATCGGAATCGCAGATACCGATCGTATAGTCACACCGCTCAGTTTGTCACGTGTGGCATGACTCACTGCAGGCCATGGAAAAGAACAATCAGGATTAGCAGCCCAAGACAAGGGCGTTCGCCCTAAATCGTCCTGACAATTGATGTCCGCACGACCTGACTGTAGCAGTTTACGAAGCACCGCTTCACAACCGTATCTCGCGGCCACTGAAAGTAGGGTTTTGCCTGTCGAACTTCTGCAGTCAACTTCTGTAACTGAGGCCTCGAGCAGAAGATCCACAGCTACAGGCTTGTCTTCTCTAACAGCCCAGAACAAGGGGGTCCATTGGTCATTGTCTTTGGAGTTCACATCGACCTTTCCCGTACTGAGTAGCACAAGCATGACCTGGTTCTGCAATTGATCCCAACTTTGTTTTGGCTCAGACAATTGCTGTAGCGTTCGCGAGTCCGGTCCTGCTGCCCATGAAAAAGCCGTTCTTCCAGTATTGTCCTTTCCATCTATATCCACCATGCCGCTCTCGATAAGAATCCACAATATCTCCACTTTTCCTTGTTCGGCGGCATGCGATAAGGCATCTCGTCCTCTCTTATCGCGATGCGCGACGTTACAGCCCAGTCCAATCAACCGTCTCAGTATAGACGCGTCATTTCCGGTTACCGCCCAATGGATGACACCCTCTCCGGTAGAATCCTTCAAGTGAGGATGGAATGAGTAGGAAAGCAGTACATTGACCATGTCCCGTTTTCCACCTTTGACCGCAATTGCCAGCGCTCTATCTCTGTTATCTGGATTGTTCAGATGTACCCCGGCAGCGCCGAGCAGAAAGTCTAAAGTCTCTGCCTTACGACAGGTGACCGCATAGATGAGCGGCACTAGGCCACAGTTGAGCGCCTGATTTAGATTGACTTTGCTAGTGGCATGGAGAAGTTTCAGTATGGCTACATGGCCGCGTTCAATAGCGTACTCCACTAGAAACGAGACCATAGAAAGCTTTGATCGCATGCGGATTTGCTTACTGTCCACCACAAACTGCTTCATACGATCAATGACTTCAGCCTCGAGCAAGGAATTGTCGGTAGAGGCATCTGCAGTTGTCCCACAGCCCAGTAAGGCTCGAATCGAGCGTACGTTACCCGCGTAGACAGCCGCGCCCATTGGACTATGATACCTTCCCATTTCTATCCACTCCTGTGGCGTGCGTTCTAGCTCGAGGCGGACCAGGTGGTCCAAGTTCAACTCTGCCAGGATATATAGGACCGTCACCTTGGGCTTATGTCGGCGGGCATGGTAAGGTTCGAGGGCATTGTGAATGGCCTTAAATTCATGGAATGATAGCGCGAATGACTGAAGAAAGACGGCCTGTGGAGAACCTGCACCCTCAGCAGCATTGCTATGAGGTAAGAGACTATGGATTGCGTACTCGAGAAAGGGAGCTTCGGTCTCCTTGTACTTCCTCTTCGCTGTTCGCCGATAAGCATGAAGCCTTGGGATATCATCCGCAGCCACTGACTTGAATTGGCCCATATATCTGAAGCAAAGCTGTGCCAGATGGCTGTGGACGTCGCCGACTGAGTGCTTGCGCGGCCCGGCCTGCAGTCTGCTAAAGCCGTCTCGCCGCAATAGGAAATCGCGCACCGACTCGTGAATGAAATGCACCGTGCGTGACTTGCCGCGGGTAGTTTCGACGAGGCCTTTAGAGACATTGAGAATGAAATTCTCGATGATGGAGTCCGTGTGCACTTCGCCATCTCTTTTGACCACGTCGAAGTTGGCAAACATGACCGCGAAGTAAAGCTCATCCCGGGACAAGCGACGGTGGGCGAATAAAATGAGCTGCAGGCAGAGTATCAGGTCTTTGATATCGTGAGTGTCTCTAGTAAGCATATCAGCAAAAAGCTCATCGAGCCCGTCGGGGATCTCGTCCAGTCGTTGGCGCACGGCATGGACTTTGCCGGTGGCAAATGCATCGTTCAATGAGCGGACCACAAGTGTCACCCAGAGGAAAACACCTGCTGCTCGGGCGCAGATTTCCTCTTTGATCTCCTGGATCATTTTTAACTTGCCCCCTTTCAACTTGACCTCAACATACTTCCGCAAGTCGCCCTGATGATCTTGCTGGTGTTCCAGAATCATCTTAATGCCACGTTCAATACTGAGTTGAGGATAATGTCTGCTTGCCAGACAAATTCTCAGATTAACTCCGCATGTGTTCGAAGAGTATCCCAAGTGTTGGAGGAACGCTATCATGTCACTCATCTCGTCTTGATCACATTCGTCCAGAGCATCGATAAATAAGAACACGTGACGATTGGTCAAAGATTGGATCACAGATGACAGTAGGTTTTTCAGATCTCGTGTCGTCCAAGTGATACTACCGTCTTGATTCAAGATCTCTGCTGCAAGGCTGAAGTAGGGCTGTTTGGAACTTGATGGAATGGCGGTGCAAGAGAGCAGCTGGTGCAAGAGAGCAGCTGGTGCAAGACTGAGCGATACATACCCACAGTTGATCTCTCCAAGTTCACTCCTTGCGCATGGAAGAAGAAAGATGAGATGATCGAATCCCGATCAAACTTCTTGGCATTGGCAAAAAGATATTTCATGAGCGTCGACTTTCCAGCTCCCGGCTTTCCCTTGACCCAGAAAAACCCTCCGTGGTCAACCAAGTCGTCGCTGCTCATCCATGACTTGAATTCAGATCGCTCCAATACCCAGGCGCATGTTGTATCATGGGGATCTAAGATCTCATTCAGGCGATACTGAGCTTGGGGAAAGGTCAATAAATCGAGATACTCCTTCTGTTGCGTGTCATTGGTGACCATAGAGTGCTCTGCTCCTCTTTTCCGCAGATTTGCACCAGAACCAAGATAATCTGTCGTAGAAGCGGTTAAATCTAAATACTGAAAGAGCCTATGGTAAAAGCAAATAGTGGTACATTTGTTGGCTACATACCCTGACTCAGGTCCGACGGTAGGGCCACATTCGAGATGGGGCTTTGGTCCAGAAGAGCACGCATGCACGCCGCTGCACTTGCTGCTGCGTAGAATTGCCATGCGTCATTCTTATGGCTATCCGCATAGTCGCTTACTCCTTTAACTAGGATACAAGGAAGATTGTCCCATATCCCCGCCCCTTCCATTTCAAATCCAAGCACCTGCTCATGCCTAGCAATCTTGTCCCGATCCTTGGCGGAGCTCATCACCGTATCCCCGGAGGCGAGCCGGCCAAAGGGGATATAGGGAGTCTCATCTGAACCCCCGCGACGACGGTCCACGTGGCTTTCGTCCTCAGGAACACCTCGCATGCACTGACAGGTTCTGCGATGCTTATAGTCAGGTCTGAACAGGATATCGTTGTCGGTTCCAAGATATGGTATATCCAGCCTGACATTGTTTTGTATAGTGCAAAGGTACTGGCGTTGTGCGTCGGATAAGCGGTCATCCCATGTCTTTAATAGGCGGACAAATGACCGGATCCGCGGACTCGATCGGCTTAGATTGCACTCCAACGTATTCTTGCGAATGGATCGGTGGTCGAGGCGCTTGCCCAGATCATATTGGATGATCCCATGGCTGATGATCACATCACCCAGAAATATATCTTCTCTGGGTTGCGTCGGTCCCACGTCCCCTCTGCGGGGCACTCCACCACAGATTCCAACCAACAGGGCGAACTCAATGCCCGGATAGCTTAGTTTGATATGGCTGGCCACGCTGGATGCAGCAGCTTTGCCAGGCCCAGGCATGTGGACCAGAACCACATCATACCGGCCCATGCGCCCCAGCGTATAGCTATTGGGGTCATTTCGAGCCAGCTCGTACTCCTGGACGGTCGCGTCATAGATCGTGTCAAAGAGCGGGATCACAACTTTCGCCTCGAGGGTAAGTGGGCACAGAATTGCGATTCTAAAATCTGCTCGAGTGGGGGACGGGGTGCTGCTGTTGACATTTGGTGGGTAAAGGAGAACACAAATGGAAAAAGAAAATGGCAGTATTCCGGGACCAGTCCTCAGTAGCAGGTTCGCTTATTATGTAGAGATCAGGACGTGCAACTAAGCCGTACTTAGATAAAGAAGGCCATCGAGTTAGTACAAGTTAGCACGTTAGACCAGGTCGTGAATGCGCCCGCTCCTGGACCGGTTTTAATGCTGGGCTCTGGCTGGCTGGTTATGACAGGGGACTTGGATCTAGGGCAGAGCTAAGGCACTAGATCTGTGATAATGACCGGCCCCCCGCCGCGAGTGCCTAAAATGATGGGCTTGATCTTTCTTGACTAAATTCCTTACCGACGACTGGCAAGTTACATGGCACATAGATAAGGCTTCGTTGAAAGGCTCCGGTGAAAATACGATTGTCCAGCGTACTTGATCATCAAGAACAAGGTTTTTCCCAACCACTATATTTACGGCAATAACATGATTACCAAGTCCCTCAAAATGTACAAAAGTCTACGTCGCATAAGTGAGGTTTATATCTAGCTTTATGGTTGTTATTATCATCAAGTTATAAGATCAGTCCCAGAATTCCCTCTAGCAAAACGCCGTTCCAGATATTCGGTAAACTAACAAAACCATAAATGTATATCAGACAGAGGGCAATAGGCAAAATGCCAACATCTCTCGCATCGGCTCGTTGAATTAATATGCAGGGTATAAAGTGAACATTCAAGTCGTATGTGACAATGACAATAGAACCACAACGCCATCAGTTATCTACATCCAAGGCCAAAAACACCTGTAGTATGGTCGAGTCTGCCTCCATCGAAGCTATCGCTCATAATGACATGCTTGAGAGGTTTGTGATTATTTTCGTCCTCCGAAAGCCGATCCAGGTCTTTCTTAGGTAAGGAGCGGATTGACAACTTCATAGTGATCCGTTATTGCTGCCAGAGAAAGGGGCGTTTGGCCATTCGCATCCTTGCAACCAAAGTCTAATCTGTTGACTTCAAGCAGCACTTCTCCCACTTGATGATGCCCATTCTTGGCTGCGAGAGTAGGAGCTGTCATGCGATCCATGTCCTGTTTGTGGATCTGACACGTGACCGTCTCATAAGCAAGGAGATCTTTGATAGCATAGCGATGGCCAATCTGGGTGTCAAAGGTCAGAGGTGTTTGCTCGTTTCAATCCTCTATATCCGGTTATATTCAGGAGCTGCCAGTAGAGACTATGATCACCGCAGAACCAAGATTGGACGCATGGTGCAGGGCTATAGTCTAATACCTATCGTTCATGTTGAGAGAGACTTATCTTTAAGCCAACCCAGCAGAGAGAGTATCAACCGGGTTTGAGCAGGTGTTGCGCCACTTCCGGGTGTCGGATTGTAAGACCCAATCCAAAAGCCAGAGAGCGCCATCGAAATACGGTTGGAGTTTTCATTCTAATCGACACCTAACAGAGGAATTCTAGCATATGTTGTGCCATGGTCTGTCCACACTGCGCCCACAGCAGGTCTGGGAGAGACCGGCCATCGTCTTCTCTCGCCGCGAGAAGCCGTTTGACGATAATGACATGATCATGAATAATTGCTCGGTAAAGTGAGATTTTGCCATTCGCACCCTTTCGATTGGCCTTGGCAATTCCGGCCAGTGATAGCTCCGCCACCCGATGATGGCCTCCAGCTGCTGCCTGGTAGGATGGTGACCCTGTGATTTCAACATCAGCGCCTGCTGCAAGTAATACCTCAATGGTCTCCCAAGAGCCCTTCTTTTACAGGTGACTGATTGAAGTCCTGAATCTCTTGTCAAGAACATTCACATTAACCGTTTTCAAGGTAGTATGAAACCGAGTAAATTGATTATCCATATCTGTATGTTTGATCTGTTTACCTTGAAATCTTAGGTCAGCAGTAGCCTGTGGGATGGAGGGAAATGGCATTAGTGCTTGTGAATCCCTTGGCGCGGGATCTCGGGGGTTTAATAAAATGTAAAAGCACAATGCGCTGACTCATTGACAGGCCAAGCAACTCCTTCTTTAGTACCACCAACGTGGATAGTAGGATTGGCGAGGCTATACTTTTGAAGATTGTACCAACCAGGATTATGAAGCGACTTGCGAGAATCATATGTTACACATTCAAAATTGAGAAGACACCTCGTCAAGTCGCCTTGGCAGGTATGCCAAAATCCATCATACTTGCGTGGCCCAATCAGCTACCCTACTCGCGCCTCCTTCATTCAACCTAATAGTACTGCAGCTCAGTATTCAAATTCTGTCCAGACATGGCATTATTGTCATTCAATGAACTATAGGCCAGTGAATTTGGGGGGTGGTTCGCATGGGTCCACGTCGACTTGCGAGCAAAAGTCGCAGTTAACAATATAGCTGCCCTGGGACTGATAGTTAATGAACATTTCGAAAGGCCTCTCATCAGAGATCCACTTGGGGAAGGGTAGCCACGCCTCATCGCCCCACCCTCGCCTCCTGTTGTAGGCGTTAAATCGAATCCTCTGGTCATGTCGACGGAATGAGATATGGAAGGCAATTTCTCCTAACCGGTTGTAGAGGTTGAAGCTGTTGTTGTCGTTCTTGTTCCCTCGGTAGCCGGGCCAGATTTGATCGAGATCAATTCTCAGGAAACGTTGGGGTTCAGCTCGAAGGCCCATTCCCATGCCCCTCAAACCACATTAATAGAATGGTAGATGTTGTGCTGTTTTTGCCTCAGATTCTGGGGGATGAACCTTGAGTCTGTGAAAGGTGGTGATAGTCATAATCTTATGTTCACCTCCGCTCAGTTCCGAGTTGCAAGAATAGTCTTACTGTGAGCTCGCAGTAGGGGCTTGCAGGGGGCGATCGACCAGGGCTGCAGCACCCTATACAGTGAAATCCTCAGGGTACTCTTGATGAATTAGCCCTGAGGTCAAGTGGCGAGCATCAATGGGAACAATGGGTAATCAACGACGGGGCCAACTCGTACTAAAGTCAAGCCTGGCCACCATGGCCGAATGGGATTCACAGACAGGTGTGGTTAAGGCAGAACAAGCGATACTAGATTGTCATTATCATATGAACACAAGAAAGGATTCCCTTCGACAAGAGACAGGGAAACGAGTCTTATATACGTTAGCTAGCGAGAGATTAGTACATACGACCACAGGGTGTGGAGAACAGGGCTTCCCGTCCGCTCAGCCGTACTTAAGCCACACGCCGGGAGGTTAGTAGTTGGGTGGGTGACCACCAGCGAATCCCTTCTGTTGTATGTTTTTTGTTTTACTCTTGCTTCATCTCCTATTTCCTCTTCTGCTACCTCCAAACCAACTGAGTGTTAACATGGTGGAAAGAGGGAAAACAGCCGGACATGCAACATATCCTCACCGAGAGCCTGAGGTGGAGACCCCAACCGATAACCACAAATATTCCTGAAATAGTTCTGAATCCTATCATCGCGACCGCTGGTATAGTCGATGGCGACGCGATCGACCAATCACTCACATGGCCCGGCTGGTACAGGATCATATGTATCTCATTGCAATTCCTTATTGCCAGAAAACTGCGGTATCTGCCCCATACCCAGGGGAGTAGTTGGTCCTGCACAAGAGCTTAGGGTCCATACCTGCAGGATCGGCACCAGATCAACATTTACCGAGTTCAATCGGAAAAGCGCGGCAGCTGCAAGCGAGGGGAGATACTAACGATATTCGATCAGCCGTGAATCGTGACAGTGGGGACACCCGATCCATTGACTCAGTAATAACATGCGGTGAAGGTTCAATTCTTCAGCTCTCCACATCTCGAGAGGGATTGACTCAGGTACACACTCTGTCTCCCTAAGGATTGCGGATTGGTCCCACGACTCTGCAACAGTGGGCCCAAGCGGTGGGGGAGCTGATGCCGATCCTCACTCGGTTCAGCTGAGTGGCGAAAATGCCAGATGGATCTACGCGCCAGCTGCACACATGGGAGATATAAATGCTCTGTACGTCTCCGGTCTGTCCCGGCCTTGATCCCACAATAAAGGCGTCCTCTCTCCTGTCCGTCTGAACACAACAATACCAGTCTAGTGCCTGCAACTTTACCCCTAGCCCCGTACCAAGCTTCGCCCTCGAGCAAATGGATCCTAGTCTCGACAAAGAAAGAGAGGAGATGAAGCCCTTCATGAAAGAGCAATATGAGAACATGTACGATGATTTCTGGGAAATGGGGAAATGGGAGCTGGAAAAGCACTTTGACAAGGACCAACTGTTCGAGGTCCGCAACCCCAGTCCCGTTTGAAGGAAAGCTTGACTAATATCTCTGTAGAACTTTCTGTACTACTTTGATAACGACGGAGAGCAAGAGTGGGAAGTCAACTGGAGGTTCAAGATGATGAGACAAGCCCTCTGGCGATTGGAAAACGAGAGGTACTGTACAATGATTTTCCGTTCGCCCCTGGGACGAAGAGGCTAACTCGCAGACCCAAGCTTCCGTGGGGACTGGAAGCGCTGCGCCGAGTTGGCGTCCTCGGTCGCCGACTTTGCCCGGATCTTCGGCTTGAAGATTGTCGTCGGCAAGATGGAGGAGGTCGAAGAACGCTGCCGGTCGACCGCCGCGGACACCAACCAGCTCAGCCATGAATCGGCGGAGCTGGACAATGACGCCCACGAAGCCGACCCGAAAGATGCGGGGGAGGTGGTGGACGAGCAGATTGCTGAGGCGCTGGGGCAGCTAGACCTGCAGGCGGACGCGCCGTCCGCCGAGGAAGTCCAGCGCGGGTCGGACGAGGACGAGTTTGAGCAGGAGAGGATGAGGATGGGCCAGCAGCTCTGCCAGGAGGTGATCGACGAGCAGGGCCACGTGGATGTTGAGATGCTCAAGGATGTGGTGCGAAGCGGGTACATTAGCATGGAGCAGATGCGGAAGATGATCGAGACGATGATCGATATTGGGGCGATGGACGAGGCTACGATGGGAGAGATGATGCAGATGCTGAATGAGGTCGGATACATAAACGGCGAAGATGCCTTCGGGGAATACGGCGACTGGATGCAGAAGCTCTGGGAGTCCCCCAAGTACCAGACCAACTCGTTCACTCAAGAGCAAGCCCGAGCAGCGAAGGCTGAGGCAGATGACGCCCTTCGCCTACTGTTTGCATGCTTCTACCAAAATGAAGACCCTGACATGTCGACCTGGGATGAAGAGAGGAATGAGAGCGAAGCACCCGAGCCGGAGGGACTCAAGATCAATTGGGGGGTCTTTGCCGTTCGCCTTGCGGTTGGTATCTTGACGAACGGTCTGAGCGAAGACGCGCAATGGTTCCCGAACAACCTAGAGAGCCTAACATACTGAGGACACTGTGTGAAACTCGATATACATACGGAGAGTGTTGATTCAAGGTTACAGCAAGGGGCAAATGAATTGATGGCGCAGGACCTGTTGTAAGTTCCAAGTATCATATGCCGGGGTATAAAACCCAAAAGCAAGCAATACAGACTGCCTGTCACGGGAGACAAAACAGCCGCCTCTTCGTGGGCAATCCTCCTTTGACGAACCAAGCCCGCGAGCTCCCGTCCAGCGGCCACACTTCCAGTGTGGTGTAGAAGCCATGCTCCTCGTCATTCGCTCGCGAAGGATTGATGATGTGGATCCCATGGCAAGGGGGCGCTCTAAGGGCTTCGAGGAAGGCGACGATGCGGTCTTGCCCGACGTGCTCCGGCGGAAAAGCCGAGGCCAGTCGGGTAATCCACCGCACGCTCCTGGAGCTGGGGCTTCGATCGTGACTTCTTCCTCGGTGTTGCCCTCCATTTTCACCGCCAGAGGATCTTCATTCAGTACTGTATGCGGCGGCATCTGATCGCGATGGTAGGTATACGCTCGGTGAAGTTCGTATCGCTCGTTGGACTCTGTTGTGATGTAGGTGTCATTTTCGGTCGCGGCCTGCGTGGGTGACGTCTCGCCGTTGACTAGTGATATTAGTAGTTTCTTATACAGATATCTTCTTCATCGTCCCAGTCTTCCAAGAGGTTCAGGTCCAAGACTGAGTCGAAACCTAGGTTTGGGTTTTGGCGGGGTTCGGGAGGCATTTCTGATGACGTGCTGTTGTTTTCCGTTGACTGAGTTGTGGGCTTGGCTAGAATGAGAGTGAGAGATTTGAACATGGAGGTAGATTAGAGATGAAGGCGAAATAAGTTAAGTGTTTGGTTGTGGTTTAAACATACGGAAAAGTAAGCACTAGGATTGAATGCAAGTTGGAGACCAGGAATAGGGCTATCCTTCCCGGGCGGTAGCCGACATAGACATGACTAGCTTCAATATGTAACATATTGAAGTAGTCCTCTCGCACGGCCGCTTGTTTGGCCCCTCCGTGTGTGGCTGAAGGGAATAAGATTACATGTGTCATCTATACTTGATATAGACTAAGATAAGTAACAGAAGATACAAAAAACAAAAACCAATAGCTCTAACACTTAAGATTCGATTGACATATGCATGCTTTCACTCTACTGAGCTGCACATCGCGCAGACAAGCAATACGTCTCATGTCTCCAAGTCAGAAAGGATATATTAACAGATTCAGGACAGTGCTGCTTCGTATTCCTGCGTAACGCCGATCTCGATATAAAATGATGAAAGTGTCCTAGTTCCTAGTAAGGAGGCCCTCCCCATCCAAGGTCGTGGCCGTTCATGACCACCTAAAAGAGGCACTTTGAAAGCCAAGTTGTCCGCTAGCAACCCTCAAAAGAAACACGAACTCATGCATTTCCACTGCCTAAGAATCCACGCGACGAATCACACTGTTTAACGTCGGGGGCCGGGATCTATATTTCCCTGTGGGCGGGGGTGGTGGAGGATCCGCCCTTTCAAACTGTCAGATAGAGATCACTCTGGAAGCATCATCACTGAGGAGAAGCACGTACCCATCGTATGCCAGCTTGACCAGCAGATCGCCGCTCTGGTTGAAGAGAGGATCCTTCATGAAGAAAGTCCCGGCGGCCGGGAGGCAGAGGCGATTTGCGTTGGCCATCGCCTCGGCCAAGACGTGACTGACACTATCCAGTGCAAAATTCATGCTTGCCTTGAGGTCGTCTGCCATCTCGTCGGCGATATACTTCGCCGTATCAGTCAATCTCATACCCCCACCTTCCTCATACGTGACTTGCACGTGGTCATTGCTGTCCTTGGGACGAAAGACAATCCCGCCCTCTTCAATCGAGGTCATATCAATTTCGAGTTCCCATGTGGTGTGTACAGTCACCCAGAACCTGCAAATCCAGGGCCACCCGCCACGTCAGAAGAGGCATTCAGACCGCCATGAGGCACAAAAGAGGAAAGAAAGAAAGGCTCACTCGGTGGGACTCCCTGAGGATCTGTGATGATTGAGGTCATATTTGAAGTCATTGCCTCCCTTCACTATGAAGCTTTCTTTTCCGGCCGTGAAAGAGACCGTAGCCTGGATATTGGTGACTAGACGGTGTCAGCCTCTCAAGCCCTTGATTTATCCTTTTCGGAGGAGACCGAAGACCAAGGCCAGTGCATACCATACTGTGCCGCATTCATCCAATCACTCCCACTACCGGGTTTGTTGACTTTCTTCGCCGTGGACTTATCCTCGGTGCTCGTGGACCATCCGCCGTACGCATTTGGAACCCATTTATAACTGCTGTCCGACGCCCCGGCATCGCCGATATGATACCTGGTCCAAAAACCATAAGGTGTGTCGGCCGGGGTTCCCACCCACTCGAGGTATGGCGTGTCCGGCACCGGAGTCATGGCCACCACCACCTGTCTAGCCAGCGGCAGCATCCATTCCCAGAACAAGGTGCGGCTCATGCAGGACGAGGCCCCTCGATCGCCTGCGCCATCAACCCACGGTCCGGTGTAGCCCATGGCACCCTCAGCCGGAGGGTTCTTGAAGTTTGACATCAATAGGTATGACATGGCGTTGTCGTCCTGGTAATCCTTGTTGGATCCCTGACCATCCGCCCCGCGCCATGGATAACAGAAATAATCGATACTGGTAGGCGGGAACGATGGTGCGTATGGGTTGACTGCACGGACCGACATCAATCAACAAGTTTCTTGGGTGTGCTGACACTACACGTGAGAGGCTCTCTTACGCTCATCAGCGCTTTTGCTGACCTCTCGCTGGGCGGAGTATCCTAGAATACTTTTGCCATTCTCAGACATCCCCTTAATCCAGTGATCAATGAACCTAAGCAAGCTAGCCCGGGAATCGCCGCTCAGATCGCTCAACTTGGCTTTACCGAGCGTCGTGATATCCTCGTTGAACTTGGTGCTGGCTGTGTTTGGACGTTAAAAGCAGGCCATCTGATAGGAACAATAGAGCACTAACATGACGAGTCGATGAAGAGCTGCGCGAGAGAGAAGTTTGACTCGGGAAGCCCTGCACGCTCTTTGAACTTCTTGTATTCGTCCGAGTCCTTCGAGATTTTCTTCTGGTCTGGCGGAGGGTTAGCAAAAGCAGTTCGAGAACAAAGCCTCCCTGTTTCGCCGGCGCGCACTTACTGATCACCACATCGAAGGCAAGGACCCAGTTGTCGATGTCGAGTTCGATGGTATCGTCGGACTCCTGACTTTTATACAGGACCACTTTTCCCGTCCTCAAGGCTAACAGAAAATACAACATGGGCTCACGGCTTTCGACATGGAGCTGCACGGAAGGGGCCCCAACAGTCGCGTCGATCGACTCGCCGTGGATGCTTTTGTGGAAGTGTGTCAAAGGACCCTCGTCTTCCCCCTGGGCGAGCTTCCACATGTTCTTGAACCCTGCATTAATCACCTTCTGCGAGAGGACGATGATCTGATCATAAGGGTCAGGACTGGTGTTGTTAACATAATACTCCTGGGAGGAGCTCATGATGCTGGACGCGGCCTGGCGACAAAACTGAATGATGTTAGTTGTTTTTTGGCTGTCTTTGTGTGAGCAGCCACTCGAGCAGAGTCCTATTATATAGGCCTGACAATGGAGAGAGGGGGGAGTCCTCAAAAAATGTAGGACCGAGTGTGGCTCTTGTCGAATGGTTCTCCGAATCTGCATCGCCCTCTCCCCCCAACGAGCTCTAACGGATCCGATGCTTGATCCATCCCATAAGATCCTCCCCAAGGTCCAGGACATCAAAACCGGCGAGCAGGTCAAGAACCTGAAGAAGCCGGACGGGACCCCTTTGTTTGAGAAAGCCCCCGACGATCCGGATGCCGTCGCAAAGATCTTCCAACAGCTCGTCGCCAGTGCGAATGATCTACATGCGCAGGAGAAACAAAAGCTGCAGACATACCACGCGACGATTACCACTCCAAGTCGCAGTACCCCCGTGCCGTATGGTTTCTGGTCCGACATAGAGGACGCCTTTGCTGGAGCGTGGCATTGGCTCACCTCAGTTGCGGAGGATGTCTGGGACTGGACCTGCAATCTTGTCGGCGGCGTGTGGAAATTTATCGTCAAAATCGGCGAGGAGATCTTCGAGATCGCCCTCAACACCATCACCTCGATCGTGAAAGGCGTTATCTGGGTGTTCAAGAAGATTGGCGCCGTGATCAAGGATATCATCGAGTTCATCAGTTACTTGTTTGGGTGGGGCGACATCCTGGACACAACCGACAGTATCGCCGCGGGGCTCACCGCAGCCCTGGACTATGGCAAGGAGGCGCTGGACGCGGCAGACCTCGACGCGCACAAGTGGTTGGAGAACGTGCGCTCGACCATTCTGCAGAATCTCACCTCTCTTCAGTCCAACGACTACAACGGAGCGCGGCTGGGAGGCAGCGATAGCAAGAACAAGACCACTGTCGCATCTAGCACTGCCAGTGATACAGATGGCAAGGCAGACCAGGGCGCCGACGAGGATGAAGCCAAGGCGGCAGTGCCCTATAACTGGTCGACGTACTACTTCACCTACGGCGGCGGAACGACGAATGCGGTGCTGCAAGACGACAGCGGCGCCAAAACCTTCGCGACAGGAGGCACGACTGAAGACCAACTCGTCAAGCTGTGGCAGGATGTCAAGGACGAGGTGCAGATCATCATGAAGACGGTGACGAATGTGGCCAAAGACTTAATCGAATTTTTCAACCCCGCCAACTTCAGCGTGCGGCAGGTGATGGCCAAGGTGGGCGTGGACCTGGTCAACGGGATGGTCGACGCGGTGGAGAAGCTGGTCGACATCCTGTTCGATGCCCTGAAACTGGGCATCGACCTCGTGCAGGTCCTGGCAACCAAGGAGATCAACATCCCCGTGATAACGTGGCTCTGGAAGAACGTGATCGCCCGGGGCCGGCCCCTGACGCTGCTGAACTTCTGCGCGCTGCTGATCGCGATCCCGACCACGGTGCTGTACAAGGCGAAGAAGAAGCGGGCGCCCCCTAAATTGTCTGGACGATTGACGAAGAGTACCTTCAGCCAGTACGTTGAGGGCCGGGGCGATACATCGCTCGCAGCGGATATCCGAGGGTTCAGTGTCGCTGCGGAGTCGGGCGTGCTCCTGATTGAGACCGAGTTTGACATGCTTTCGCTGGGGCTCGATGGCGCCTTCGAGGGGCTCGGGCTCGAATCTATCCCCTTTGGACCGGTGGACAGCATCATGAATGTCTTTGATTCGGCGTCCCTGACCTTTGCCGCCGTGAACGGATTCACAACCTGGCCTGTGGGGAATGGCGCGACATCCGCCACCTCCTACTCTTCTGGACTGACCACTGCCTCGCTTGACACCAAACACGCCATCAAATACGCGGTAAGTGTTACACATCATGCTCCTCGGCATAATTCCCAAATTTCTCATTACCCCTACTCACGCACGATCTGAAACTAACATTCAATCTTCAGGGCTGGGCCCTCACCGGCGCCAAATTCACCTCCGGCACCGTGGTCAAACTCGTGGGCAAGAAGATGAAGCTGGAACGACCAGTAGTCAAGCGGTGGAAGGGGACCGTCAGTGCCGTGCTGTCGGTGCCGTCGCTGTGCCTCGGGCTCACAGGCGATACCATGGACGCCACCGCCGCAGAAATCAACGAGGTGCTGATTGTGAACGGGTTCATCGAAACTATCGCCGGGTTTGCCGGCACCTGGGGGAAAGCCGTGGCGCAGTGGAACGACGAGCTCGAAAATTATCTGATGTATATCGGGCTGGCAGTCTATCAGGTCTGCCGAGTGGTCAAGTATGGGTTGAAGGTGGAGGACTTCGCGATCGAACACCTGGACTGATTTGAAGCCACTGAATGGAGCGATGAGGCGAGGTGAATGGCTTAGCGTAATCTTGGGTGTTTGGGGGATTAGGGAAAACTAAATACTTAGGTAGATGAATTACTGACCCCCTGTTCGCCACGTTATAAGAATAGTTCTTAGACGGTATGACAGTGACAGTTCAATTGTGTGTATAAGACAGTCTTGCGCATAGATTTCTGGTTCTCCGTTGCTGTTGAGGGTCGACCACGAATAGGCCCGGCGATAGATGATGGCAAGTACTCCGTACTAGGCGTTGAGATCCACATTTTCTTCAGGCCGACTGAATTTACTGATTCAGACCTATCCATCAGTGATCCTACCTACCTACCTACCTGCTCATAGTACGGAAGCGCAGTTGGTTCTCAAGTCTTGCGGCAATCAATAGCGGCTCTCTTGGCTGGGCAGTCTGCTGAGACTTACAGTACTAACTTAGTAGTGTCTGATGACCTCCTTTAGCGCCAGGGCATGGGGCTTCGCCAACAAATCTGTATTGGTTCGCGTCAAGTCATGTTCTGCAAGGGTGAATGAACTGCTCCAGCGGACGGGCAGAGGCACTTGGGTGGTCAATTTTATTGCCGACCATGTGACTGTCCTGGTGCTCAACCTTTCAAAGATGTGGCCGCGGAAGTTGAGTAAGCCGTCATGTCGTCGCCTTGCTCAAGCCGAAAGGATTGATTATCATTATCCATCATAATTTACAGTGGTATTCGAAATCAGCTACACCTCCACACTCTTGCAACTTAATCCCCCGGAAATAAGTCCAAAAGGTGTTAGCCGGTTCCGAACCACTGTGCAACTGTGGGAAATCATATTGTTTTTGATGCCAACTCTTCATTGAGCATCCCTGGACCCTCCTCTCATGCTTCTGATACAGCACTCAATTGGCTCCTCCATGTAAATGAATTCCTCGGCCCTCAGAAGCAACATCCTAGCCTAGGTGTTCGCTCGCAGAGCCCCGAAATCGCCATGCTGCAGCTGCGATACAATAGCCGCCTTCACTGCCTTTATGGTCACGAATATGTAAGAGAAATCACAATGTCTCCCTTGGAATAATAAGGGCAATGCTGATTGCCCATACTTATTACTGTATACCGGGTTTTCTTGTGGAGAATTGACCTGCTTCGGAGATATACCCGGCATTTTGGCGGAAAATCATTCTAGACGAGGATGGCAGCGCAAACGGTGTAGCTAAGACAGGATCCAATTGGCTCCAAGAGCTGCTCTGAGGAATACAGATGTTGATTCATGGTTATATGAAGGAGTAAAATAAACCCAAACAGCCCTTACTTCAAACTCCGCCCCGACTAATATCTGTTACAAGAAAGCACGCTTGAATGCCACCCACCATTGTCATAACACATAAACGCCTGTGGAACCCTTAGTAAAATCTTTTATTCGGCGGGCGTCCCGCAGCCTGGTCATCTCTCTGTATTTGTTAGCTAGCACACTAATGATTCGAATTTAGACAGCATCGGAACCCATACTAGAGCTTCCGCGAATCCCTTCACAAGCGCAATTCCGTAGTCACAGCGGGCCAGCTGTTCAGGGCCAAAGTCGGTGAAGTTCGTTGCAACATCAAAGTCAATCCAGACCAGCCTGTCGGGGTTACCATGGACCAGGGGAAGGTTTTTTGGGTAGATGTCTTGATGGTTGATACCCGCCTTGTGTATCTCATGCATGCCCTCAATGGCCTGGAGATAGAGCGCGTCGAGTAGTTCACGCAGTTCAGACTCTCTGTATTCGGGAAATATTCTAGCAATATTGCTCTCGGCCTTAGCTTGTCTCGGGCGAAAGATTGTAAAGCAGGATGGAATGCTGCGGGATTCATTCGATTGATGTAGCCGTAGAATTGTGGCACGAAACCACGTGCACAGACACCAGAGGTGCAGAGCTTCTTATAAGCATTCAACTCGCAGCGAAATCTGCTCAAATCACGACCTTTTTCGGTATATTCAGGGTGACCGTTGTCGTGGAAAACCTTTAATGCATACTTTTGTCCTTGTAGATCTACCCCGAATATTGCAGACGAATCAGAGCACGTAACCCGCCTGATAATGTTAATATTGGAGAGATCCATGTTCTTCAAGTGAGCACTTCCTAAGTGCATTGTTGTCCGGTGGAAATGCATATTTCTCTCTATCAAGGGGGTCGGAGCAGGGCAGAGAACAGAAAGTGGACAGGCCTTGGTTAATGATAATAAATAGCGGGATTACGTAAGTTGAATAATGACCCTGTAACCCAGCTACCTGTTTCTCATCTATTAGACCATAGTCAATATCATGAGATATTGTAATTAGGTAGTACGCGCCACCTCTACTGCCGGTGGACTCGATCACCGCCACGGCCCAGCTCGTCAGCCATGTCTACCCGTCAATTAGGGTTTCCGCCCGGCCGCCGCCCCTCCCGCTCCCTCGGCCCTCCCCTCACCGGTAGTTTCCATCTCATACTCGATCACAATGTGATCCGTCCGTTGGATCTCCCACCCGGGCTTCTGTGTCGGTCCTGGGACCGGCAACCGGAGCTCATTCGGTAGGATCTCCTCCTGGCTGTCGCGGCGCATCGAGGTGATTGTGATGGCGGTCGGGTCGAGCATCGTCGAGCGGCGGGAGCGCTTATTGGAAGCCTTCGAGCCACCCTCCCCGTAGCCGGTGGCCTTCGGGTAGGAGCGAGGGTGGCTGTAGGAGGCGACTGAGCGCTTGCCCAGCAGAAACTCTAGGAGTGGCTGAAGGGTGGGGATGCAGGAGGCGATGATGACGAGATCGGCTTCGACGCTTTGCGGGTGGGTGTACCTTAGTTATTGTGTTAGGATTGGGGGGCTCGGGAGACGAACGTTGTCCATAAGACGAGGGACCAACTTGCATCTGAGGTCTTTGGTTAGCGTGTCTCATGCGAGTTGTGGGGAAGTTGAGTTACAGGTTGCGTCCGAGACGTTGGCGAGGGCGTTGATGTGGGTGGTTTTGATGATGGCCGCGCAGGCGGATCTGCAAGTACAGGCATCAGCAGCAGCAGGAGCAGAGAGAGGATTGAGAAGGGTAGGGAGCAAAGCCTACATCGCACCCATCCCCAACGCGGCACACAGCGCCATCTTCTTATGGAGCGACATCTGCAGCTTCCAGAGAACCACGCTCGGGTAGATGGCGAGGCTGAGATCGGTGAAGGCGGACAGCACTATCAGCCCGCGAGGGTTTTGCCTATCTTAGTAAACAGAAGCCCTGTAACTCGATTAGGAGGAACTCACCCCCATTAAACGTTGCAAATCCGATTATCACACTGGAACTGCGACAGGTGGACCCTGAAACCGTCGTCCACAGGGCGCGCGGCGGATCGCACGAGGTAAAGAAAATAAGGATGTTAACAACAGCGACGGCCATCACCAACCCAGTCAAGCCCCACAGCGCGCACTGCATACGGAAGCCCGGGACTAAGATACGGTGTAGCAGGGCTGCTACCCCCATTTTGGGGAAGGCGAAGGAGAGGATGCCGAAGATCCAGCCGATATCGATGGTCATATTCGCACGCTCAGTCGCGGCGTGGCCGATCGTGGACGAGTGTCTGCCGAAGCCATAGTGGACGGCGACCGTGGCAATGATCACGTTGACTAGCCCTAAGATCTGGAGTTGGAGACGAGTCAGATACGGTTCTGACATCCGAATTATAGTAGTCTAAGAGGGCCTTACCATCGAAATGGCAATGAGCCGATCATCCAGCCCAAACGCACGCACGACTTTGGTGCGAATAAACAATCGGGCCCATACCAGCACGGTCGCGAGACCAGTCAGTGTCCACATCACAGCCAGCAGAACTGGACCCTTATTCTGCTGGTCATATGCCGGGGTTCCCGCCATAGTGTGGAGGCGAGACTGCCCAAGGTGGCCGTGGAGGAAATTTTCAGGAGAAGGTAGGAGAAGAGGAAAGAGGTAGGAGAGAGAAACGCGGCAGCAGGCAGCGTGTTTTCAATATTACCCGGGCAAAGGCATGTCGCTCTATAGCCCGGTTCGGTGCGATAGAGGCATCAACTATAGGCCGTGCCTCCGAGATTGCTTACTCCAGAGCTAATTGGTGTCAATCAATCGGGTGTGTTGCCTGATGTTCTCATAAAGTAAGCACACAATTCTCCTTGTGGTTGGCGCCGGAACTAGTTCGGAGGGAAAACCACGCAACCAGCGCTATTCGACGACACTTATGCAGGAGTGAAGGTTTTAGCTTAATTGCTCAGTGGCTTACCGGGCTGGGCTTAACCCTCCCCTCAGGCGTTCGTGGATGCACTGTACTGCACCCCATCAACATGCAGTCGGGCTCAGTCCTTGTGCGGCTTGTGCTTCGAAAAATAGGGAACCGTGGGCATTGGCACGTCCTCCCTGTGGCACGGGTCGGAATCGTGGGACGTGCCGCGGCCCTTCCGACCCGGAAACAGCGGGCCATGCTGCCTGCAGGCTGCAGGTGGCTAGCGGCGCGGATGGCGTTCCGGACCATCAATCCGGATCCTCCAGCAGTGGAACCGAGTGGAGCGCATATGAGACACGGTCTGCCCTACATCCAATCGGAGGTTTTAGCTCACACTGTCACTACAGTACTTAGTACCTTGACTATACCCCGTCCCAAGTTCATCTCTCGAAATGGACTTATGTCGGGTAGACCAGGAGTCTCCGGTCGTCCGCCTCGAAAAAAAGAATTGAAGCAAGGCACGGGAGCACCTCGGAGACTATTTATCCCCGGGCGGAGGGAAAAGAGAATTGATATGCCTGCATTCTTCCTTGAGATTCCTCTCAACTCTGTCTTTGCGCTTCCTTCCTTTCTACTTTCGCCATGGTAGAATCCAACGGACTTCCTACGCCGGTCTCGGGTCCCAATGTGGCCAATGGTGTTGATGTCGATCGTATCGCCGTCAGTCCCATGGCCCCTGAAAAGGTCGCCAGTCTAGCCCAAAAGATCGACTTGCTAAGCAAGGCCTTTACCTCTGGCCAAGCCGGGGCACGACTCCAGCTGATGGAAGCCGCCGATGCCCTTCTAGCAGCCGTTGAGACGCCGCGCGAGACCATTTTCCGATACTGCTGGCGAAACGTGAGTTCGCTGCCTCTCCGCGCCCGTACGTTTTGCCCCTAGACAAGCTGACGGGGGATTTCACCCAGACTACCGGCTTCGCCGTGATTGAGACAGCCATCGACCTCGGGATCTTCCGGTATCTCTCGAACAATGACCGACCGATGTCTGTGGCCGAACTGGCGACAGCTACCGGCGCTGACATCGTCCTGCTACGTAGGTACCGCCCTATTCACCTCTTCCGTACCACTAATCACTCTGGCAACTCCCTACAGAACGAATCATGAAGCAACTCAACGCCATTCACGCTGTCACTGAAACCAGCAAGGACGAATACACCAGCAACAACTTCTCGCATACGCTCACCCGCACCCGCTACGCCGATGCCTTTCCCACAATGTATGCTTGTCCCTGAATACCCCCTCCCGTCACCTGCAATCTCCCAGGGCACATCCGACTAACCCTAATCCCGTAGAACACGAACCACCCAGCTTGCCATCACCGCGATTCCAGAGTTCCTCCGCAAAACGGGCTATCGCGACCCGGCCAACGGCCTCGACTGCCCCTTCCAACTCGGTTACAACACTCAGGCCGCCTTCTTCAACTTCGTGGGCCAAGACCCGGTCCTCAGCGCGCAGTTCAACAACCTGATGTCCATCTACCATCAAGGCCGCGCCAGCTGGATGGACCCGGACTTCTACCCGGTCGAGGAGCGCCTCCTGACTGACACGACGACAGACATCGCCGACAAGATCCTGCTGGTGGACGTGGGCGGCGGCAAGGGCCACGACCTGGCCGAGTTCCGCGCCAAGTGGCCCAACACCCCGGGACGGTTGATCCTGCAGGACCAGCCCGCCGTCCTGGCCGAGGTCGTGGGGAGCCAGCTGCATGAGTCAATCGAATGCATGCCGCATGATTTCTTCACGGAGCAGCCTTGTAAAGGTACTTTCCCTTCTCCTCCCTCTCTCTCTCTCTCTCTCTCTTTTTTTTTTATTTTTCTGCTTTTTTCCTGCACAAGACAGAAAAGGGGCCAAAAAAGCAGCAAGAGAAGATAAAGCTAACACCCATTCCTAAACAGGAGCAAGAGCATACTTCCTCCACTCAGTCCTGCACGACTGGCCTGACGCCATCTGCCAGAAGATCCTGGCCCCGCTGCGCGCCGTCATGACGCCGGGATACAGCCGGCTGCTGATCAACGAGAACGTGATCCCCGACCGCGGCGCGCAGTGGCAGGCGACGGGGCTGGACTTCGTGATGCTGGCGGACTTTGCGGGCGCAGAGCGCACCGAGTCGCAGTGGACGCGCCTCCTGCACGCGGCCGGGTTCCGCATCCTCCGCATCTGGGCGGCGGATCGGTGGTCGGAGAGTTTGATCGAGTGTGAGGTCGCCGTGGGCGGCGATGAGGCTGTTTCGAATTGAGATTTGTCTTCGGGGCAATGGGGTTTTTGTCTGGTGTGGTCTTTGTTTCTGGTCTGGCGTCTCTGCGTCTTCCTGGTTTGTTGTATTCATTTTTCGACGTGTAGCGAATTTCTCTGCGTGTTGACGTCGCGTCCCGCTTGTTTGGTTATTCACGAGGGCAGTTGGAGAAGCCTCATTCGGGATGGCGGCAGCCCCTCATATGCTTTAAACCCTGTCCTGTATGGTACGTGGATGAGGATACTGTGCAAATTGTTTCAGACTTAGCCCTAAGAGACGCGGCCCGCTCGGTTGAGGGCCGGAGTATCAGGAAACCCCCCCCCCCGGTGAGCAGGCATGGGCATGGCTTGACCACTGTCTGCTTGTATTTCCAGCGTCGGGAAGAAGTCGAAGAAGGCATTTCTCTTGACCTCACTTAGCACCATGCTCGACAACATTCATGATCAGGTACTACCAGGTATGGGCCTGCTAGAGCCCGGGGCCCGCCTTGCGGTTCCATCCGAGACGGTCATCCGAGAGAGTGGGAGATTCTGGGGTCGAGGATCTTACTAAGTTACTACTTTGGGTCGAACAATCCACAACTGTTGAATTGCAGCACGGACCGCGAAGCCAAGCCGCGAATGCAACTAGTACTGTGTACAGAATGGTGGGAGTGCTCGCGTAACGGGAGGAGTGCCGTTCACAATTCCCTTAGACTATACTACACACTATCTCTCTTTGTGTAAGATCACAAAGTTAAAATCGTTCAAGCTTGCTTTTCCTGTAGAGCCTTATAATCATCAACGGTAATATTTACCATCTAGTATAAATATATACGTGATTGTATGGTTTTCAAAGCTTTGTTTCTTACACTCAGGCTTCTGTACTAAAACTTCAGTTCTATCCTAATCTACAGTCTAAGGTGATTCTATTTAAGTATAAGCCTACCACCTTTTCATCCCCAGAGGGGCTGCAGGACGCTAACCCAGACGTGGTAATTTATACCATTGATGATCAAGTATCAGGTCGATCTATTGATCGGCCACTAAAGTTGAGTCTACTTCACCTTGATAATCCTTTCGTTCCATTCTGCTTCCACGTAGACTACTTTCCGAGCATTCAGACCCTCCAGATCCGATTCCCCACCCTCCTAACGTCGTTTCGCTGCTCTTCCCACGATAGGTTGGGTACAACTGAGTTGGCACTTGGAGAATGACGAGAGAGAAAAAAAGAAGAATACTGTGGCTCATATTCCAACCACCGTCACGCTCGAATACAATCTGCTGCACAAACTACCGGAGTTCAAAGTGACCATTCCGATTGATCAAGCGCTCGCCCAGGTTCAGATTGCGAGTGTTCCAGTTGCCGTGCTCGTCGCGAAGCTCCGCACGGAGGATGGGCAAGCAGGCCCCACCCTCGATGCTCAACCGCAACTCGCGGGTGGACTCGGAGAGGTCGCTGCCACCCCACTGGAACCAGCCTGTTGGGTTTGCACGGGGCGGTTAGTCCCGGGAACTGGAGTAGGAAAAACTGGCCCGGGGCCGGCCAGAAGGTCTGAGTTCAGCGTTGGGGGCATACGGACCGTCGTTGTTGCCAATAACTTGGTTCAGCTTGATCTCGGCGTCGCGCCAGTCGCTATCCTCAGTGCGAAGTCGGGCGCGGAGCATCGTTCTCTCCACGCGCATGTGCATGGCGGAGTTTTGAAAGCCGGTCTCTATGATTGCACATGGCCGGGGGCGCGGCGTGGTTATGGGTTGAGAATTTGGGGAGGAATCAGAAGGTAAGAATGGAAAATGTGACAATTGGGGCAAGGGGCTTCAGAGCTTTTTTATGTACCCACTGCAGCAGTGAGCAGCCCCCGCCCTTTGTCGGTCAGTACTGCTCGCATCATCCGGATTCCGTCTTCAAACGGGTCATTTCAGGGGGCCGAAGATAGCCATTGCGGTCTCACGTCGTGCTGGGACGGGCCCCATTCAGGAGCTGAAGAGGGCTGAGAGGCTGAACACTGTTGCACAGCACTCGTGAGGCGCGTACTGAGTGGCTGGAATGAAATCCTGCTGAACTACTGAAGAGTCAGATCGGATCTACTTTTCCTCAAATCCTCCCCACATCGGGCAAAATGAAGCAGGTCGCCGGTGGGTCTGGGGTGCGGCAATCACCTCATTGGTATCGATCGATCAGTCTACGTGGTCTTGACTAAGGAACTCATCTGGTCCCCTACAGTCGCTCAGGGCAGTTCAAGGAGAAGTACTTGATGGCCCTGAGGTCAAGTAGCGAGCCTCAATGGGAATCCTAGGTACTAGTCAACGACGGGGCCAACTCGTACAAACGGGAACCACAGACAGGCGTCACTGGTTGAAGACAGAACAAGATAATTGTTAATGCAGCACTTTCCAGTGGCAGAGAGGGGTGAATGATTGGAGTCTGGTTCTGGAACTAAACAGTAACACCTTCCCTATAATAGCCTTAAGAACCCCTAGTATAATACCTAGTATAGGGAGATCCCTACTGTGTAGACTTGTATTTCAGATACAATGCCGGTACAATCCGGTAGCAAGAGAAAGTCAGGATTGCCGGTGTCAATCGCCTGAACTCAGGAATGGATTCTCTTCATACATAGGATACAACAACGGGTTTGATTTGATTTTGAACCGCTGATCCAAGCACATACGACCACAGGGTGTGGAAAACAGGGCTTCCCGTCCGCTCAGCCGTACTTAAGCCACACGCCGGGAGGTTAGTAGTTGGGTGGGTGACCACCAGCGAATCCCTTCTGTTGTATGTTTTTTCTTCTTTGTGCTGCCAGTAATCAAATTCTGGTTGTGTTTGTTGTCTGCGCTGATGGTACTGGCACCGCATCCTCAAATACATGTCTATTCAACGCGAAACTGGGTTGGTACGGCAAATGCGTCCCTCACTGAACCGGGGACACGCTATTCGGTCAATCTGGCGATCAGATCAAGTCACTCTGTAGATCATTGACATTCCATCAAGTTTATGAGTATAATTAGCGTCTGCCTGCTCGGTTGTGAGGCATGGCGTTTGGTGTTGGGAATAAGACATGATGCGTGCTTTCGCGCCAGGCCCTAATCCCACACCCTGCAAGCATCACACATACCGTCCCCCGCGCCCCCTCTGGCCCAAACTTGTCTCTATCTCTCCATGTCAGAATCGTAGATCTGCATACCCTGACTCACAGAGACAGACAGCAGATCGAGCTCGGCGATATCAAACTGGAAATCCGGCCCGAAGTTGATCACGACATGTGTGTCGGCCACCTGGCGCTGGATCGAGACGGTCGGGTACAGCTGACCGCGCACCGCCGTTGCTACGTCTCCTAGCAAAAGGCTTGTCAGCATGCTACATCAGTAAGTCACAACCCCAGACGGCAAGCCAGTCCTGAATGACGGCGTAATCTGATGCGATAAAGCCCCCTCCCGGCCTCGAGATTGACCAGAGACACCTCAAGGAGACTCACTCTGCTTCTCACCGTTCACGGTGAAGAAAATAATTTGCGACTGTCGGTCATACCCACAACCGACGACGTCTCCGGCGCCATAACATGGACCGTAGGTCGTGACGACCGGCCATGTGGAAATTACCATCGTCGCCATGATATCCCCAGGAGTCCTTCTGCCAGCCGACAAACTTGTCGGGATGGACGTGTTCCTTGGACAGGCCGATTCTGAGAACACTACGCAAGAGAAAAACAGAAGACACAAAAGGTTAGCGAGATTTATCTCGAAGGGTGATTCGAAACCCGAGAAGAACGGGGCATACGGTGACTCAGGGCTCTGTGGTATATTGATCTCGAAATAGAACATCGAGATGGTAAATGGAATGTAATAGTCGGCACGAACGGAGGTAGTGAGTATATCACCGAACTCAAACGGGGTTCCTGGATTGCAAAATTGAGTTGATCGGGTCTGAGAAACAGAAGTACTATTTCTTTTCTGCGGATTTGAATCAGGAACATACCGGATAGCGTTGCCGTCTTTCCATCACTCGACTTGGAATTCGTACAGCTGCGGTCAAAGGTGCTGAACCTTGAGGGTGACATTAACTGCGTCTCAGATAGAAGAGCCCGGTCAGCGCCTGGGTGGAGCAACTCCCCGAGCGCGCGGTGCCCCGAGACGCGGGCTATGTTATGGACAAGCCAGGAGTCGCGAGACGTTTGTTTCTGGCAGCTCACCAAATCGCCACCAAAGATAGTATCTAGCGTGTGCTTGAAGCCTCGCGCAGCGAGTGGGACGACGATGGATCGTAATTGCCGCCGCCTAGCATCCCCGCTCGGCGCGTTCAGCAACAGCTCAAGCTTCTCGCACAGGTCGTCCGCCACGTTTTCTTGGGCTAATGCATCCCAGTACAGCGGATTTCGCCCGCCATCGTCCACGCACTCGACGCTTGCCGCGTTGAGACGGAGCTGCTTGACCTCTTCAAACCGCCGTAGCTGCGCCGCGTAGTGAAGTGCAGTGGCCGAGATCCCGTCCCGAATGTCCAGCCGTGCGCCTCGAGTCAGCAGGTGGTCGATAGGGATCCAGTCTTGCAGCAATGCGAGTATGAGCGGCGCTCTTCCCCAATAATCCTGACGGTCGATATTGGCACCCTTGTCCAACAGAAGATTGGAGGTTTGGATCAGATTTTCCCTGTGTGTATATCCCGCCATGGCATACAGGGTGTGCAGCGGAGTCCCGAAGGGGCGGACCATACAATCGTGGGAATCATCGCGAGCGAGCAGTGAGATGCAACCAAGCTCCCCCCGAAGCACGGCCAGATGTAATGGAGTCCCGAAGGGACCCCCAGCAACAGTGGGGATAGCTCCCAGCTCAACCAGTCGCCAAACAACAGGAGTAGTCGCCAGTTCACAGGCCAGATAAAGTGGTGACTTTCGTGGTTTTGCACAGATGTTCGGGTCAGGGTTCCGTTTGAGCAGGGCCCAGATTACTTGGAGATTCCCCGCTTCTAGAGCCAGACTGAGTGCTGTAGCCCCGTCGTCTCGGACAGCATCGATCTCGGCTCCACGATTGAGAAGCTCCTCTACGATAGTCAAGTTTTCCAGCGACGCAGCCCTGTGTAGGACGGTCTGTTGGGTCTCGTCACGCTTGTTGCAGCTACAGCCGGCCTCGAGGAGCATTTTAACAACCTCCAGATTGGAGGCTCCAGCTGCCAGGATCAACGGGGTCGAGCTGGATTTCCTCTGCTCCATGAGCTCCAGATTGTTATGTTTCAACAGGAGCGACGTGATACCAGGTGAATCGTGCGCGAAGTGGAGAGCCGTCCATCCTTGATGGTCTATCAGGTCTGCGTCTGCTCTTGTGGAAGCAGTGGAGAGGCCGTTGTCAGAGATCGTCTCCCCATCGACAGGATGCAGCAGATACCTGACTGCCTCTTCGCCCTCCGATCCAGACTTTGCAGCCAGATGCAGCACAGACATAGAATCGTGATCTTGACAGTCTACCTCAGCCCCGAGATCTACGAGGAGGTTGACAAGGGACCAGAGGTGGCTTTTGGCGGCTACATGGAGGGGTGTTTCATGGTGCTTGTAATCGATGATACGGACCCACCACACTCAGACGAATCCATCGAAGAATGTCTCGATGGTTTGAAAGTTGAGGTTTGGAACTGGAAGAAGATCGATCTGTGCACAGATGTCATAGCCAAGGTGGCTCTGGAAACTGCAAGGGAAGTGTCTCTGTATTCATCGGGCAACAATGCAGTTCTTCTGGGTTGGTCGAGCGCTGACGGCCTTGCCCGGTTTCCCAATGTAGGGTTTCCCGCTCTTTGCTACCCTCTCCCGGCCCCTCCTCAACCATCCTTGTATCCCCAAACACTCCCTTCAGTCAAATACAAACATTGATCCCTCTTTATAAAGTTGGAGAAGGTTCATCTTTACGTGCGAGAGGTAAGAAGATCCTGACCACAAAACCGGAGCGAAGAAAAACCCGCCATGGCCGATTACCGAGTTGACCAAGAAACCAATGTGAATTCTAATGTGATTTGCAGGGTCTCAAAAGTCCAACAAGATTGGAAGAATATATGAAACTCTTCGAGCACCGACTTAAACGAGGGAAACAAGACAAACCCAAGCTGGAATTCAACTGGACGACTGATAGCACGAAGGAAAGCTATGCCTCCGGGTTCCGAGAAAAGCTAACCTCGATGACGAAGTGAGCGACAATACCACTCAGCTGTGCATTCTGGTTTCTCTTGCTGACTCGTATTCTACTTTCTTTGGCAGGCGAAATCCATGGTTAGAACGCATGACACACTTTGGGGAGTTTCTCCGATCGGCATCACCGGCAATGGAGCCTATCAAGATTGCGGTGATTGACGATGGCATCGACATCGGGCTAGACATCTTCAACAACAAGCTCGGCGCGGGCGACTCGTTCTTGGTCTTGGACGAGGTTTACGGGAAGCGCGGGGGAGCCTACTACGTTCCTTCGGGGAGTCACGGAACGCTGGTGGCGCATCTGATCTGCACCGTGTGCCCAGTGGTCAAGCTTTATGTGGCTCAGCTGGAGACCGTGGACCGTTCCGATGGACGACGCTCGTTTACTTCCGAGTCTGCGACGGACGTAAGTCACCACACGCCCTCCCCTTCCTCCCTCCATTAGACCCTGATGATGGAAACACAGGCAATCAATTGGGCCGTCGATCGAGACGTCGACATCATTTCAATGAGCTGGTCCATCAATTCCAGCCGAGAATTGACGGATCTCAATGACGCCATCGGCCGGGCCGAGAAGAACCAGATCATCATGCTTTGCTCCGCCATTGATCAGGGCAGCCAGGTCCGCGACAACACCTATCCCGGGAAGAATAATAACTGCATCAAGATCGGCGCGTCGACGGTCACGGGGGAGCGGCTCGGCTGGGTCTCGAAGGACGCCTGTTGCTTTTTGTTACCGGGCGAGAATGTCTCCCTGCCGCGTAGGAGGAGTTCTTCCTCCTCCCAATCGGGCTCCACTACCCACCCCCAGGCCGGGCCATACGGCAGCTCGGTATCCACCGCGCTCGCGGCCGGGTTGGCTGGCGCTCTGCTGTACTGTGAGCGACTGTTGACCGGCCCCGCCCCCGAGGCTGGGACTACCAGTGGTACTTGCGACCCGGTGCTCCCGTATCGGGACCAACTCCGAAAGCTTGGGCAGATGAAAGTGGCGTTTGACAACCTCGCCAAAGGTGGGAATGACAAGTTCCTCCAGGTTGCGGACCACTTTCGGGGGAGTTTAGGAGCATGGTTTGGAATGAAAGGGAAGTGGAAGATACAGACGATACTCGTCGGAGGCTCCAACAGCTCATGGCCACCATCGTCAACAGTTCGACCGTGACAAGTCGTAGGCTTTGGGCTATTTGAAAAAGGAATAGATAGCCCTTAGGTATGCTGACTGAGTCGAGATATACATAAGTACTGGGATTCTCTCTCAGGCTTCAGCCGTCCCGTCTACCTCCAATTTGTCTCTACAGATCAATCTCCTTGACATTGCCTTTCTCATTGTGTCAGTATACGTACCGAGTCCGTTCTTTCATCAGAAGGATGGGTGGGGATAAACGTCCAAGCTTCTGCGGCCGGGACTCCCGACCCTACGGGCTGGCTAGTTGTCCTGATTTAGGGCTCAGCTTCCCATGCCTGTGTCAAAAGATGCCTGTTGAGATCAACGTAGTCCAGACTCATGTATTCGTACAGTCCTCCACAATTCCCGCGCTACCTTGTAGTATGCTCATAGAATTTCTGATCTCTTTCACGCCGATCTCGCTTTGGCGAAGGGTTCCTCTTCTTAACTTCGCGACATACCAAACCTCCGCATGTACCCCACGGGTTGTTAAACAATGTGAGCTTCTGGCGTCAGCCTTTTCGCTTTCTCAGTTCAGTGTGTCGTTGGAGGATGAGCGATCCTGTATGTACACGTATCAAGGGCCGAATGACACACACAGGGGTAGAGCAAAGGGTGGGTGGGGGGAAGAGTCCTATTCATGCTTCAATCGAATTATGCTCGTGATGTGTCCACCCGAAATTATGCCAAGATCTTCTTCCCTCCACCGCATCCGCCTAACGCAAACTCTGTAAACAAGATTCTGTAAGTCACTACCTGCTGACCTCTCTATGATATCGGATCTTTCTAGAGGCTTTCTGATCAGTGGTACACTCCCTATTCCATCTCTCGCAGACTTGTAAACATTCTAGCAAGAATTGAGGGTGCGATACGGAAGCATTTGACATCAAATCCCACTGAGGCGTAAAAGAATCTTCGAACATAGAGGCTTCACTTGAATATATAGAGCTGTTAGTGTCAGCACATACGACCACAGGGTGTGGAAAATAGGGCTTCCCGTCCGCTCAGCCGTACTCAAGCCACACGCCGGGAGGTTAGTAGTTGGGTGGGTGACCACCAGCGAATCCCTTCTGTTGTATGTTTTTGTCTTTTTTGCTTGCCCCTTGATATGGAGGCATATGTATCAATGGTGATGGGGCCCTCATATGGTTGATTTGGAGAATTTTGAAATATGTTTTGGGAAGAATCTCTATTTCACCCCACTTCAATCTTGCCTTACCCGCCCACATATCTACTAATACAGCTGCGCCTCCACCAAGTCCGGCATCCTGTGTCCGCAGGGGGCTGTTGTATGGAACGGTGGGGTAGAAAAAGCTTCACACAGCACATCAGATTCCCGAAAGAGGATAATTGGCCGTCGAAACTCTGGCCATAATGCCTTCGTAGATCTATTTAGCATTGTGAAGATGTGTACTCTACTTGAATAAGGAAGGCTTCTATTTAAATGGGCTACCTGAGCAGGTCTTCATCCCGGTAGGACACAATCCATCTGTGAAGTTACTCTCAAAGCTCTGATGTGTCTTACCCTGATCGGTAACGATTGCGAGGTGAATCGACTAATCAACTCCCACAATCTCACCCTAAAAGTTCCACTGATTCAGCCAATTGGCCATCTGCGCCGGTGACACCGGGCCCAGTGATGCCATCGTCTCACTCCCCTTCTTAGTCCGTTCGACGCTGATATCCGCGGACAAGACATCCGCATTGTCTGCCAGACCGTGGAAAAAAGCCAGGAGCTTCAGCGCGGGTTTGTCTTGCACGTCGCGATCGGAGGGATCCTGGATGGTCTCCAGGTCGGCGACCCAGTCGACGAGGGGCACGGGCTGGACAGGGTATCGTTCCTGGATCGCGGGGACGAGCGAAGCCCAGGTGGTCCGGGATGGGTTGACCAGGTGGAAGACTGCGTTGCGGGTCTCCGCGAGCGAGGCGCTGCGGCCGAGGACGAGTTCGTTCACGATTTTCGCAAGAGTATCCTGGTTCGATGATATCAGTAGCAGTCCTTACGGTTGGGGTAGATAGTAGAGGAAGGTAGGGCTAGGTGCGTACCACTGACACCCAGTCGATGGGGTACCCCCCGAGATCAGACGGCACTTTGCCCGTCGCCTTGGATGTCTTGATCAAGGAGGGGATCCACTCGTGCGGATTCCACACGCCCAGTCGAGTATCCGGGCCAGCGATTTGTCCCACCCGCAGGATACTAGTCGGCACGCCGGCCTTCTTCGACGCCTCCACGCAGATGCTCTCCCCGATATACTTGGACTCTCCGTATCCCTGTTCCAGCGTGGCGTCTGCTGTCTCCATCCGGACTTCGGGGACAGCCGTGACCCCATCGCGGGGCTTCCAGGCCCCAATCGTGCTGACTGAGGAGACGAAGGCGAGATGGGCCCGGTAGCGGCTCTCCTGGCTGAAGCGCACGAACTCCCGAACACCTTTCAGATGCGGGTCCTCAAAGGAGGACACGGGATGGTTGAAGTTGACCTTCCATGCATTATGGATGATCACGTCGACCGTATCGAGGAGCTCCTTGTATTGTCGGTCGGAGAGGCCAAAGTGAATTTCTCCGAAGCTGACATGGAGGAACTCGACCTTGTTCGGATCATCCAGCGGTGAGGTCTGCAGTCCTTTTTCCAGGAAGCCTTTCTTCTCACGCGTTAGTGAATCTTCACTGCGGTTGAAGCAGTAAATCTTGGCCACCTGAGGATTGCGCAGTAAGTCGTCAAGGATATAGCTGCCCAGAGATCCGGTGGATCCAGTGAGAATGACAGTGGATCGCGCGGGCAGCTGGGGAAGGACATCAGACTTGCGAATATGAAGATCATTCGTATACTTGGAAATCAATTGCGCAATCTTTTCAGAACGAGAAACAGTAGCGATTGGACTCGATGGTTTGTCCAGAATCTCCAACAGCAGGTTAGTCAGGCCCTCTGCCGTTGGGTGCGCATAGATCTGTTGAACATTGAGATGCTCGGTGTTCAACTCGGGATTATATGAGGAGACCGAGGTCTTTAGGATCTTGCTCAACTGGATTGCCTGGAGTGAGTCCAGGCCCATGCTGTAGAGGTCATCACTGGGATCGATGCTTTGTCTTTCAGTAAGCTTGCAGATGACGCTCTGTAGATACCCACAGACAGTGTCTGGGGTGATCGCTGATGGCAGGTCCATCACCAGTTGCCTGTCTTGGGCCGCGTAAATCTCCTCGATCTCTTCGGCATAATCCTTGTTCACGGCATGTCGTTGTGTGGTACCTTTCGCGGTGAGCTTGAAGGGTTTCTCGCGAGATGAAAGGCGGATCATGGTTTTCACAATCTGGCCGTAATCAGGAACGGTCTTGTTGGCTGCCTGTACCACTGGCCAAATCACGTCGATAAAGGCCTTCTCGTCGAGAGGAGTGGCAACCTTATCAGAATCTGGCTCAATCAGCAAGCATGTCTGAAATCTACGTTGACCGACAAGCAGAGCCCGATGCACAGAAGGATGGCCCTCTATAATCTTCTCCAACGAGATCGGGTTGAGCTTCTCTCCGTTGCTGAGCACAATCACATCGTCAAAGCGTCCATGATACTTCCAGAGCTTGGGGTTGGTTGGATGAAGCGTGTAGAGATCTTTGGATCGATACTCTTTTAGATTCGGGAACGTGTGAAAGATTCCATGCATCACGAGAGAATGCTCCACCCGTGGTATGACTAGCTCGTATAACCCGTCCCCGATGGATTGCATATCAATCTGATAGGAGGGATTCCACTCAAAATATCCCCAGGTGTTCTCTCCTTCGGGCACCATGGAGCAGATGATGCCCATCTCGCTAGACCCAATGGCCGATCGTAGTTGGGTGCATCGAGCCAGCTTCTCGCCCACTTCGGGAGCAAGAGGAGCCCCACCATAGCAAACAAACTTCAGAGTGCTGAGGCACGTGAGAGCCTCGTCGGAACAACTCATGTCTTCCAGAATTGAAGGTGGAAGAATCGTGACTGTCGGCTTCGTGTGGCGAATTAGATCGATCAGAAACCCCACGGAAAGTAGCCTCTCAGGGCTAGCAACGAAAGGGATGTTGTGAAAGATGGATTCGAAGAACGAGGTCAGCCCCATCAAGTGGAAATACGGCGTGGACGAAAGAACGAGGTCCTTGGGGCGGGGATCATCGGAGGCCAGGTCATTGAAGAAAGTGGAAGACCGCCCCGGAGGCATTGGGATCAGTGCGGCAAAGTCCATTGTACCCAGGAAGCCATGGGTGAGAGGCACAGGCTTAGGCATACCTGCTCCAGCGTTAGCTCTGAGATTCTTCCACGGAATCTCTTCCTGTCCTTTCGTTTCCTACGTACCGGTTGTGCCAGAACTATGGATGATGAAAGCAATCTGGTCCACCACCTCATCATAGGTCTTGGAGAACTCAAAGTGACTCGTGCCACTTCCATTGCTGAGGATGTCCGCTACAGATGGCACCTCTTGGAATTGCATCTTCCAGTCCAATGTTCTCAACCTGGACGCAATCGGAGACTTCTCCCGGCTGAAAAGCAGATGCGTACACGTTGTGTCCTTGAGAACATGGTTATATGCCTCATCCGATAGCCGAGTGGAGGGTAGAAAGATCTATAATGAAAAAGTCAATCGCAACCCACGCGCTGAAATGGCACCAGGGAAAACAAACCGTGTAGCCTGTCTTATGACACGCCAGCATAAAGATGATGTAGCGCACATCGTTGTTCCCCAGATACGCGATCTTTTCGCCCGGTTGCGGCTTGCCCAGAGTGTCGTCGATCCACCAGGACATGGCATTGACTGCGCGGAAAAGATCCCAGAACGTCACTTCACGGAAGCCCTGGTCGACTTCGGTGCCATTGGGGATCAGACCAAACCGTCTATTAGGGGATTGCTTTGCGATGGTATCGACTTGGGTCACGAGAAGCCTCCTAGGGGCGTTGAAGGCGCCCGGTGCTGGGTTGGCGACGCCGACCATGGTCGCTTCACGGCGTCTAATGAAGAAGGGTGCTTTGTGCTTGGATGCAGGAATGGAAAAGAAAGTTCTTGGTTCAATGGCAAGAGAGCATCGATTCCTGTTCCCCTGCCATCTTTAAATAATTCGAGGGAGACGGCGCTATGATACAGACAGGTGAGACGCGGCTTTTTTCCTTTGTTTGCCATATTCCCATCTTGTATATTGACTCCAACCCTTAACGTGGTATGCTGTCGACTACTAGCACATTGTTGTGACTCCCCAATGCAGATCATTGCTTGGAATGACATAGAGTCGGGCACGGAAACTTGAGATTCACGGGTTATCCACAGGATCGGGTGCATAAAAGTTCCATCGAGATAAGCGGGGTCGGCTAATGCTGCCGAGCCGGGGTAGATGGAGATCGCTTGTACAGCCAATGCAGTGCATATTTATGTTGAATGAACATCACCCGGCCTGACGATCAATACCCAATACGGAATCACAATGCCAGAACAAGCTCTTATGAACAACGGCAGCTCCCGCCCAATGCTTGAATTCCTTCATCCTCTTCCAAGTACTTCCTGAGTCTACAGATGCCGCAGAGGCAGAGAACGGGGTCAGCTAGCGAGCTTGCTCTCCATAGCAGCGGCCCATACCACCGCATTCCTTCTGAACAACCAGATAATCCCAATACTCGCCCAGCCGATGACCGCCAATCCAGTGAAGATCCACCGGGGCCCAATGGCATCGATCAACGGCTGCATGACCACCACGACCACACACGCCAGGGCATTGCGCAGCACATTGTTCAACGCCACGCCCGTGCTGGTCCGCCCTGGCAGCAATTCCGTCAGCATGGTCGACGTCATGCTGAAGACGGTGCTGCTTCCGAGACCGAAGAAAAACGTTGCAATGCACTATATGGTAGTTGAGAGAAGTTATTAGCAACAATCCCGATGACCGCGATGCTTGTAAGCATAGATACTTACCGGAACGAGCCAGAAGACGCCCTTGTCGATCGTCCAGCCGAACCATAGCCCCGCCGCCGGATACATCACTGAGGCCAGCCATGCGTTCTCCCCCATCCGATCTCCAGGGAGGTACTGGATCTGGCCGGTCTCCAGATTCAACCTTCCGGCAGATTTGGCCCGTCGCCGCATAATGTGGTCAGTCCACCGGCCGCCCAGCAGGGAGGCCACGATGGAGCCCAGGGCGCAAGGGATGTAGACGAGGCCGACAATGATGGGCGAGAAGGAATACGGGGCCTCGGAAAAGAGAGTTTGCAGGGTAATGCTGACGGCATAGTAGCAGGCGAACGTGCTACTGGCGTAGTAGACGGTGAGGAGGACTGGCGGGAACTGCAAGTACGCCAGAATCTTGAACGGCTCGAGCAAAATGCTGAAGATATGGCGGATCTGCTGCAGAATTGCCTTGGGGCCTTCTGGGTTGCTGCGAGACGAGGACGGTGGCTTGCGAGCAGCAGCCTGAGAGGTCTCGGGGAGACAAAACAGAATGAGAAGCCAGACAATGGCACCGTAGACAACGGTGGCCCATTGAGTGGCACGCCAGCCTAACCTTTCAGTCAAGATGCCGCCGAGAATAGGAGAGACCAGCGGTCCGACCATCGGCCCCAGAAAGAAATATCCCATGGCTTGTCCGCGCCTTTCCACCTCCCAGAGGTCGGCCACAGTTCCTGCCCCCACCGCTTGCACCGAGGCCGATGCCCCTCCGCACAGAACCCGCATGACAATCAGCATGCTGATCGAATTGCTTTCCGCCGAGACCACATTCCACACCACGAAGATCGCAAAGGAGATCAAGTAGACCGGGCGTCGGCCGTACAGCTCCGAGATGACCGACCACCAGAGCGGGATGATCCCCATGGCCAGGATGTAGAATGCGACGGACAGATTTACCAGTGATCGAGAGACGTGGAAGTAGGTGGAGATTTCCGACAGCGCGGCTGTGCGGGTGGAGTTTCAGTCAGCTTCGTTGAAATTGATGGATCGGATATAGGTTAGATTCACGAAAACCCACGCATTAAGATGTTGCTTTGAAGCGGTGCCGCGACTGCAGCTAGGGAAACGATCCCGGTGAAGAGATACTTCTTCCACAGCTCGTATTCCTTGGAGTTACATAGAGGAGGAAAGAGGAGGACCTTGTCGTAGAAGTGCTGCTGGCTTGTAGGCTTCGCGCTGGACGGCGAGACGTCCGGCTGAGGGCTCGCCAACTCGCCGTCTGCCATTAGGGGGTGCTTGGCCATGTATTGAGTGACAATTCAAATGGTCATCTAGTTAGATCACTCAGGTTCCAGGACTATAGCCAAAGCGACCTTTTAATAAAGGTCACCTGTTGCGCTGGGCATTCCAGATTGTAGGGCCGCCCTGCCCAGTAACTGGACATAAAGTCAGTGAAAAATAATGGAACTATTTAGAAACTCAAGTAGTACGCTTAGATCTCGACGACTTGGGCATCCGAAATTGCTGGCAATATTGAAACTGGGCAACTGGGCATGCCCAGTTTAGCAGAAAACCCCCCCCCCCCGCGGAGGTTCCGCGGTTAGGGTTTCCCACTTGGGGTTAGTATCCTATTTACTAGTATATCAAGTATATCAATCCCATATACTTGAGGAACAGCCACTTAGCTGAGTTCATCCAGCATCATCAATTCTAACTCTGCTCTCTTGTCAATATCCTCCAAGATACTGGCATTGTGCTCTGCATCTCTCGCGAGGAAACCCTCAATAGACAACGCCACTCATATTAGCCCAATGGTTCAACTCGACTTCGAAGAAGAATCCCGCAATTCACCGTCAGAGAGACCTCCAACTGAAATCGAAGGGGCATCCGCAAACAAATGCATGAACCGCTCATTCCTCTGCGCCGACATCGTAGCACACCTCGATAAAGCCCCGCGCCCCCAGTGCATCAACTCCTCCCACTTGGCCACGAGTTGCACCGCGATGGGCTCTGTCTCTTCCTGCCAGCTGTTCTGGGTGTGGGACGTAGCCTCTGCGGTAAGGGATAATTCCCTGGTCGTTTCAGTCACCGCAGATGAAGGCTCGAGCTCTGCATCTGCAATCGCAGGCTCCTGTGCCGTGATCCTGTCGCCCCCCCCCCAGGTGTTATGGACATCCACCCACTGTGCGGAGCCCTCCTTGCGGACGCCCGGCAGCCAGTCGTCCGACGATTCCGTTGTCTCCGGGAAATACTTCTTCTTCAGCCCGCTCGGGGCGTCTGAATACAAGACTTTCGCGGAATTGTCCGCGGACATCCGGGGCTTGGGCGCCCGCAGGACGAATCCGGTCATGAGCCGGAGATTGCCACTCTTGCTGCCATCCAGGAGGTCTCCGGTGGTTCGGTGACCGGTGCGGGTGGGGTCGCTGTCGGGGTTGTCTAGGAGATTTTCCTATCAGTATGGATTGAGTCGCAATGCTTTAGAGCAGATGTTCCATCTGAAAAGAGAGGGGGGGGACAAGAAAGTATTACATTGTTCCCAGAGGACCTTCGGGGCCGGACCGAGATGCTTCTCCAGTCGCCAATCGTCCATTCTCATTTTGCTTCCTGCTGCCTTTATGGTCAGAGTGCCTTCGGAGGTCAGGGGTCTCGTTCCCTGCATCGGTTTGGCGTAAATTGACGTCTCATCCTCGAGGAGTGTCCGTTCGTCCTTATCAGTGACGGTTTGAAAAGGATCTTGCATGTCACAAGAAGAGACAGGCTCCCTGCCCGGACGGTCCAGGGCCTGTCGTGGGCTTGATTATTACCGTTGTCCGGTTCATCCCGGCTGACCAGGCCGGACAGGGCTCCGAAGATGGGCCTCATTACTGGGCCGTTGGTAATCTCCTACTCGTTCCGCTTCCTCCACCTGCTCTTGATTTGAAACACGGCCCGGTAGAAGCCCAGCACGGTGGGCAACGCCAAGGTCTTTCTGGACTCACCGAGTGTGATATACAATGAGTGCACCCGGCAGTCGATGTGGACGCAACCGGCGAGCGGCGGGCCCCAGAGCGCCAGCTCAGCTCCGACTTCGAGCAAGCCGGACCAAGCCAGGAACACCCAGCCCGCAGTAAAGCCAATCCCAACACCGACCTGCACCACCGCCTCAAACTGGAATGGTTCGTAGTTGATGAGAAGATCTCGCCGTTGCTCTCATAAGGAAGGAAGCACCGTCGGTCCCCGGACGCAGGCGAGAAGTTGCCATGATACGGCATGTCCTCGGCCTGGCGTTGACCCATCATCCCGTCATCCTGCCCATAGAGTAGCGATTGCAGCGCCAGAAATGCTCTCCTCCACCGGGCCAATCGCATCATCGGACTCGCGGTGCCCCGTCTTCCGCGCGGCAAGATACGTGATGAGGGTGTCCAAATCTCGGCCTGCTCGGCCACATCCACCTGCTCGCCCGCAGTGCCCAGCACAAAGGGCGACACGTCTATCTGGAAGTCCGCCTCGAGCGGGATGTCATCCAGGTGCCACACGTGGTCGCTCTCGACCACCCACGCCTCATACTCGGGAAATCGATGCGGCGGCGACGGGTCTCACGGAGTCCAATGCCAGCTCGCGGATTACAAGCCACCGAGTGGGCGCATCGAAGCACTTGGACTGGGAGGAGGATCGTTGGGGTGGTGCAGCGCCTTCTTGCCCATGCTCCTCCTCTTTTGCCGCCGTCGCCACGCCGGTCCGATACACTCGCGGCAGCGTCCAGTGCAGGTACACTCCCCAGAGGTTCCCCCGGGGCAGCCCGGTGCCGAGATCTGTCATGCGAGGATTTCTCGAGGCGGGCGTGGCGTTGTGCAAGTCTGCATCCGGCATCACGTCGCTCTGGGCGACGGCGTTGTCGAACCGCAGGAAGGTGTAGGTGGGCTGGGTGATGGGGCCGATGCGGGCGCCGTCTTCGTTCGGGTTTCCGCACCCGGCTTTATTCAGAACGAAGGCGTCGAGCTGGATGGGTACCAGGAGTGGGTACCGGGAGTGGGTCTAATTCAGCCATATCTTGAGTTTGTATGCATGAGTTTATGTGGAGGATGGTGGGCTGGGAGACGTAGTGCCATCGCTTATATATAGTTCGGGAGGTAGTGTACGGCATGTCGATTATAGATGAAATAATGATAGATTTACTGGCTCAAAGAGGAAAACTTGATGCCTTGAGATTCATGAAATTGGTGAGGACGGAAGAAATCTACACGAATTCGTGGTGTTTATATCATCGTAGTCCTATTTGAAATCATGTGATCTCGCTGGACCGAGGCGTTACACGCACAACGCCGATACAGTACGAACTGTACTATACTGTACTGTATTCCTGCTCAGCAGCTCAATACTGCTCAATGTGGAGAAGCCCTGTCATGCTGGGTGTCCTGCAGGAAATGAGCGGGTCCTGCCGCTCGGGCCTTACCCGCCATCCGTAGCTAGTGGTACGGTGAGGTCCTTCCGATACCAGAGTATAATACTCTCGTACAATAATGATACTGTCCTGCGAGCGTATACTGCTTCAATGTGCAGACGGGCCACAACCTGCGCTCTGATACACAATATACATGGGCTTGCAACGGAGAGAATAATGTAGACAGTCCCAGAACCAAAAATAAAGAAAGCACTCGCAATCTAATCAAATTTTCTAAAGCAAGTCGAAGAACCAGACTCGTGAGGAATCAATGCGCCAGCCTATACTGATTTCTTTTCCCATGGCCGCCCATTTGCCTACCATCTGGACTCTTGCACCTCCACCGTCACGTCGATCCCCGTATACGCGAATTCCTGCTGCAAAGCGCTCCGCAGGTCTCCATCTACCTCCTTCACGTAGACTCCAACTCGCCTCAGTCGCGGGAATGAGGTCCGGTGCTGCACCAACCGCGACAACTGCAACAGCAGATCGATATAATAGTGCTCCTCGAGCTCCAGCACGTCCAGCCGCCTCAGCGAGGCGGGAAGGATCTCCACAAGCGACCGCGTCTTGTTCCCGCAGAAGCGGGAAATCCGGGCCGGGGGGGCTTGCAGGAGGTGCACCCACCGCATGCGCAGCTCGTCCAGCACGGCGAATTCCCGGAGGGACCCGAACGGCCGCCTGTCGTTGGTGACCGACCGCCAGTTCTCCTCGAACGGGTCTTCGACTTGTAGGTGAAGGGTCCGGAGTGTCCTGGTGAATGGGAGGAGCGCGTGGCGGAATTCCGGAGCGTGGAACTTGCACTTCTCCGGCAGATGGTCCTCGTCCCGGTGCAGCCCGAAGACAAGAGCGACATGCTCGAGCGCCGGGCTCGCGGCAAGCCAGTCGAGCATGCCGCGGCACCACCACGCGGGCCGAACAGTAACCTCGCGCACCGGGCGTGACGAATGGCGGATGTCCCGCGACCAGGTCTCGGTGCCGTCCCGGTACGACTCGCCGACGGGTCCCCCGTCGATCTTTCGGACCGCCGGGAAGTAGAAGAAGGGCTGAAGAAATGCCGAATCTACCCAGGTATCGGCCGTTTGGGATGAGACGAAGACTTCTTGGAGATGGGGAAAGGGAGAGGTACGGTGGAAGGGTCGCTGGCGCCGTGCGGCCTTGCGCAGAATGTCCGCCATCAGCTCCGTGGACCCGTGGGAGAACTCGATGGTTTCCAGATGGGTGGTGCGGACGAGGAGTAGCCCTAACCAGGCCTCCTCGCAGGGGATCAGCAGATGCTCTTTCCATTTGGTCCTCGTGTCTGCTTCCTCCGCCTCGAGAATCTCGTCCAATGCAGCGTCGACAAATTCGACCACATCGTCCCCGACGGTTTCGTCCTCGCCTAGACCTTTACAGGGTCCACCGTCACAGTCTAGCCATGAAGTCACCAAATGACGCACCTTCCTAGCCAGCTCGGGGTGTCTCCAGAGGCGTATAATCAAATGAACGATATGGATAGACCAGTTGGGAGTAATGTGATAAAGTAACAAAGGTTGAAACACTGAATGCAACCGCCGAGAGCACAGGGTCAGCGAGCACAGTGTCTTCGCGGGGCGCCATCGGTCCATGGTGTGCTTTCCGATTATAAAAAGCAATTCGTTGGGTAGGCGCTCCATGTTGTGGTGTCTGAGTATCTTCTTCGCCTGTCTATGCGGAATACGTATTTATAGACTTGAGTTCGGGTCGTAAAATTGGTTTGTGACATGGAAAAAAAGCCCTCTCTTCCCATCTCCTTGCGTCCTTTTAGGCTACATCCGCCGGGGGGGGCATCAGGCATCAGCTAGAGCACATGCATCTCAGCCGAGTTTTTGCCTATCCAGGTATGTCAAGAAAGCACTATCTGTGCGGCTGTTAATCTCAATACCTCTTCCTGTTCGTGTTTTCTGAGAGGTGCCCTGTCTTCTCTATTTTTTCTCGAAGTCCTCCACATGAGGGCTTCAGCTCTAATCAGCAACGACAGTGCTCATCCCCTGCCTGAAAACAGCTTGTTCTATGGCTGGATTGATCTGAAGCCGGACATCCGATTATCCGTCCACTTTAATGCGATATGCTTTCTTAGAATAGCTGTTGGCATGGATAGTGGGCAGGATATATTCCAGGACTCAGGACAGCCACACCGGTGTCTGGGGCTGCAAGATCCTGTGGCTGAGCCAGCTCATCATCTTTCTTCGTCACTCATTGCTGATGGCCTCCCTCTCTCTCTTTCTCCCTCCCTCTGACACACACGCACGCACTGATGATACTACTCACATCGTAAAAAAGGAACGCACTCACGACTTCGGATGGGTCTTGACTTTGAACCTCAGGCCAGGGAGATCCTATAATTTGTGATCTTCGTCCTGGCCAGTAGTCCGGATGATATGCTCTAGAGCCAGTCTGTTGGCAGAGTCTCTGGTTGTTCATGATATATGTGATTTTTCAGAGGCGACCGACCCCTGTTCCCATGCCATTTCGACCTCGTTATGCGACTCACGCAGGGGTGAACAATGATACTGCGGGAACAATATCGTGCATATAAGTATTGGAGTTGGACGTTCAGCCCCAATGTTGCAAGCTTGTCAAAGGTACGCCTCAAGGCTGGAGTAGTATCACCCAGAGCTAATCGGACCATTGCTCTCGTGTCAGCTGTGCTGGAGGCACCTAACATATGAACTTCGATTCTCCGTGGAGAAGAATGATCGAGGTCGATGCAACCAGCTTCCTCTCATCACTGATATCCAGAATTGCATTTGTCGAGCCGAGCGGCAAAGAGGACAATCTCTGATAGCTTCCGAGCGAGCTGTGCAAAGCTCCTAGCCAACTCCTCCCTTGCCAAACCCATCTCCTCAAAGGATACGTGAGGCATGCGCCACCCTGGGTCAATCGGTGAACTTCCAGTATAGCTAACAAGGTATTTCAAGCAAGACGATGAGCTTGTTAGCATCCGACCGAAAGACTGTGTACCCCGATACTGGCTACGGAAGCTGCGCTGCCTTGTCCAAGTAAGTGGTACCAGGGTGGGTTTCTCTTGACGTGCCCTTCAGGCCATTGGAGATTGTCTGGGTCTCGATCTCAGTAACGTCATCAGCGCGGAGATGCGAAGACTCCATCTCAAGAAGAATAGACAGATATGGCGGCCCTTCAGGTAAACAATGTACACTGAACACAGTACACGAGAATGGTCCGCGGGCAAATGGTAGGTGTTTACTCCCCTTGTAAGTCCCTATGAACAGAAGCTAGAGCATTACGAGCAGGCATACCTGCGTCCATGACCCACTTACGGCATGGCCATTGATTGATTCATCTGGAGTTGCGCGATGCAGATACCTGGCTCCCTTCTTCCTGTTCTTTCGGTGTAGGTCATGGAGAATGATGGGAGAGACCTGCTCTCAAGTCGATGGCGTGAGTGAACGGGACAATACCTCGTATTCTCTGATGGGAATGTGGTATGACATGGGCCAAGACAGAGAGTCTCTGTGTACAGTAAAAGCTAAGGTTGCAATTACCTGGAGAGGGCGGATTAGCAAAATGGCCGCAATTGTACCAGACCTTGATTCGGGTTCGACTTTCGGAACCTCTACTCCATCTCTGACGGCGATGATATATGAGATGATGCCTGGGACCCAAGAGGCAGGAAAATAAGGTGCGATACAACAAGACAGGGGGGGTGCATGGTGAAGTTGGAGATATCTGCTTATGAGTGCAGCGTTCCGGGCCTATCAACTATGTTTGTCACTTTCCCTATCTGGCCAAGTTCTCCTTGGTACAACACTTGAAGCTATGTAAAACCTTCAAGATCTCTCGCAAAGCAACCTCAAGGAGCTGCATAACAACAACAGTAAAGCAAAGGAAGTTCAAAATGGTTTCAGTTGTCCAAACTGTTCAAATTCACACGACATATGCATCATATTCAACCAATCTGCATCCCAACAGGTTTCCACGACACGTCTATAGGTATAATCAGGGTAATAAATCATTAGTTACAGATGTAGAAAGACCTTCACCCTGACCCGGTCTTTACCTCTCTTCATGATAAGATCGACAAAACAGAACAACTTCAGGGCAAAGACTAGCCGGAGGGGTATGCAAACGCCGCAAAGAAATCAAAGGGAGAGCGGATGACAACAACAGAAAGTAGAATACAACGCAACCATCATCGGGCATGCCATAAAAGACTGAACATGAAAATCGATCAAGTATATTATAAACGGTTCGTATGCCACTCCTGTCTGTACAACTCCCGAGCACGTCTCGGGGAGAATGGTCGAAGAAACCCCTTGTCTGCGTTGGATCCGGGTGAATCACAAAAACAAGCCAAAATTAAGTGTTGTGGATGATCCGTGTTGATTCTGAGGGGTGATAGGAGAACCGGTAGGAAATTAGTGCTGTCGTATCACAAGACTCTTTTCGGGTCGATTTGGTGACTGGCAAGTCGAGTTCCGAGCTCGAGTCAGTCGGCGTAATGGAAACAAATTCAGTTGAGTAAGATACCCCGGCATTGCGGCGGACACAAAACATTGCGGCCGCACCACATGGATCGATGTGGCGTGTAAGTTTGGTAGGACTGAACCAATTGGCCTGCAGTCTTCGAGATTCCATCCATGGTACATAGCTAGCTGCCTTCGAACCACGACTCAGGCTGACAGGAATCTATGCCGCACTGATTCGCAAGCCAAGCTTTCTCCTCTTCAAGCTGAAGCCGACCATCAGCTCTCGTGTCCAATGATGCTCAAGTCAAGCCGAAAGTATCTCTTCTCTCCCTTGGTAGAGGCGCCACAAACCCATCTCAACTGATGATCTGTCTTGCACCTTCTTTGCCCAAAACACCAGGTTCTTGGGGCTTGGGACTCCTATCGCGTCCCTTTTTCCGGCTCAGAAAAGCAAGCATGCCGCTGTTTGAGCCTTTGCCTTTACCGGTGACGGTGTCGTATCCTTCAGCCGGGAGAGTAGAGCTATGATCCGCGAGCTCACTCCAACTTCCGGCTTCCTCTAAGACCATCTGCACGCCGCCACCTTTGCTAGCTTTCCGTGTTGCGCCCCGGGGACGACCAGCTGCGGGTGGTGGTAGCGGTCTGCTGAACGAAGGAGCTGGGGCCGGTGGTGGCAGGGATTGCTGAGAAGTCGGGGTCTCGCTCTGGGGGGAGGGGGTGTCGGGCTGGGTCAAGTGACCGACCGATCCTTCGTTCCGTGGAGGCGGTGAGTTTCTCGAGAGATCAGGTTGTGAAACTTGCCGTGTGTGGGCGGATGCGGATTGAATGGGAAGACATTCTTCGGGGTTTCTAGCGCGAAGTTAGCCACGGGTTCGGCCCTTACAGCGACGAGGGAATACTCACGATGAATTGGCAATGGCTTCGGCAGCGCTTCTAGACTTTCGGTTAGCGGATCACATACCACTTATCAAAACACAACCGCTGTCGATGACGTTGACATACCCATTGTAGGATACCCGAGTATAATCGAAGGGCTCAAACATCGTCTCTATGAGGCGATGAAGCTCGTCCTCCCGGATCTCCTTCGCCGTGGCGTCTTCCCGCAACTCCGCCCGCGGTTTTTGTCTGCGGGCCCTGGCCTCGAGCGGCGCCTCCTCCAAAAGTAATTCTTCCAAATCGTACGTGGCATCAAAATTGGTCTTGTCGCTGGAGGGTCGAAACACGGGGGGGATTTCCTTTCTTTCCAGGGCCTCGAAATCGATGTCGGCAAAGAACATGTGCGACGTAAATGTCTCAAAGCCGGTGGCTCCAATTCGTTTCGAACGGTCCTTTTCCATCAGAGCGGATAACGCTCGAAGACACGGGACAGATACGGCTGGGTTCGTGACATAGTACTTCGGTTGCGCCTTTTTGATGTTTTCGCTGAGCACGTCCTGGCTGCGGCCCTCGAATGGACGCTGGAATGAGAATTAGCGTACTGACTCGGCCTTGTTCCAAGGATCACTCCACAAACCTTGTTATAAATACATTCATAAAAGGTCACGCCAAGCGACCACCAATCGACTTCGCTGTAGTACCCGCCTCCTTCGTAAACCTCGGGGGCCAAATAGGCCAGCGTGCCAGATTTACTCGTGAGGGGCTTGCCGGGCCGGAAGTCAGAGGCCACATTCTGCAGGAATCAGGTCAGCGAAAGATCTCTTCCAGCTGCTGAAGAGAAACATACGAAATCGGCCAAATGCACGTGTCCTTCCGAGTCTAAGAGCACATTGTCGGGCTTCACGTCACGATGGATGATACCCTGCGAGTGAATGTACCGCAAAGCACAGCCCAGTTCCGCCGCCCAGAATCGTACAGCTTCTTCGGTGAAACACTTTCTTGAGATATGGAATCGCAGATCGCCGCCATTCATCAAATCTACCACAATATAACTTCGGGGACATCAGTAACTTAATCGCATCGGGGGAGCTGTTGGGAAACGAACATGTATTCGATATCTTGGAAGCTGTATCTCAAGTTACAGAGGAAGGCATGGTTGAGATGTTCCAGCATGCGCCGTTCACGGATGATGTTTCGTACGCTTTCCGACCGGACCACTGGACACAGCAAAAGAAGAGATTGTCAGCAGGAAGTTGCGAGTGCTTGGTTAGCGAAGTCGTACCTTCTTCTTTCCGAATGTATTTTAATGCGAACGTCAAGCCCGTGTCTTTCTTCTCCACAATACGGACCTTTCCAAAAGCACCTTTTCCTACCACCCGTAGCAGGCGGAACTGGTTCAAGTTCACTGCATGCAACGATCAGTAATGTGACCCATACGTTATCTTCCCATCGCTGCGCTCGCTCGAAAATGCGTCCGGTGGAAAGTCAGGGGGGGCGGAAAGCAGTTACGCACACTCATCGGTGGGGACCACCTGTTTCCCTTGAGAGTTCCCCATTTAAGAAGCTGTGTAAGCTGTGTAACAACAAATGCTGAGATCCTTCCTTTTGAGTCACCTCCGATAACATCCCATTCGATCACGGTTCTGTCGGTCGAAAAGATAGCTCGGTGTCGAGGGTTCAATGCTGTAATGAGGGGGGGAGGCGAAGGAGGGCAGGGAAACGGATGGAGATTTATTTCGGCACGGGGAACGGCTGGAGCAGAATGGGAGTTATAGGTCAATCGGCGAGCTCACACATGCAGAGCTATACTGGGCAAGACAAGCAGAAGTTAGTTTGAAATTCGAGAAATGCGGAAGAGTGCAGTGGTCTCTGCAGAGCGCGGAAGAACGTGGGCGGAGGGGTTTCATTTTCCCGATTGGCAGGGGAAAAGACAGCAATCTGACAGGTGAGACCTACCCCAATGAAGAGAGTTCTAGCAGTCGAGACAGATTGCGGTGAGTTTGGAGGTGTGAGGGTGTGAGAAGATTAATGGATTAGGAAAGGGGGGAAATTGAAAAATAAAATATAAAATAAAAATAAAAAAAGACGAGACACGACCCGGCAAGAACCACGAAGCGGAGGGTTATTCGGGGAAGACGAAGAGAAGGGGGGGGAGGGGGGGGAAGAGGAGAAGGTGTATGTGGTTGAGAGAGGAACGGAGAGAGAAGAGCGGGAAGAAAAGTTACTGAGGAATTTCCGAGTCAGGTGTGTAAGGAGGAGAGGAACGGGGGGAGGAAAGCAAGCCCCTAAGATAGTGTGGTTGGTAGAAGAGATGGGGAAAAAGAAAGAGTGAGTGAGTGAGTGAGTAAAGTGTGGATGTGGTGGGTATGGGTAGGTATGGTTAAGGTAGAGAGAGAAGGAGTTTGTAGTAACAAAGTTAAAGTAAGTGAGTGAGTGAGTGAGTGAGTGAGCTGAGGAGGAGGCAGTCTCCAGCTTGGTCGGTCGGTCGGTCGGACTCTGGATGCTTGTAAGTGAAACCGAGAGTCTGAGAGAGAGGGAGAAAGATTGAGTGTGTGAGGGCGAGAGAGAGAGAGAGAGAGAGAGAGAGAGAGCATAGGCGGGCCCGGAGTAGTCGCCTCCTAAAGATCTCCTCCCGTCTTCAAGCAAGGTAATCGGTTGTCGATGAACTAACCTAATCAATGTGCATACAAAATTATACGGAAAGAGAGAAGGAAAAAAACAATGAGAAAAAACAAAAAAAGAAAAATTCAACCAAAATCCCAAAGTCAGCCTTAGAGGCTCATGAAGCCCCCAAATGGTGTCCAACTCAAATCCAGGTCAATAATTCCTTAGTTGCTGGGAATAACTACTCGGGTCAAGCTAACTTATGCTGTTCGTATTACTACTACTAAGATACTGCTAACTAGACTAGTATCCCCGTCTTGGGCCACTTCTTCGCCAGTAGCCTCTCGACGGTTGCTTTTTCCTGCTTCTAATTCGGCTTCGGCTTCTTTTCTTATTCTGTTTCTTGTTTCGGCTTGTCAAACCTGTCTTTGGATGTTTGTTTGTCTTTCTTCATCTTTAGCTTCGGGCCCCAAATCCTCTCGGATTTAAGCTCCGGAAGACGTGATGTTCGACTACGGGGGAGAGGGGGGAAGAAGGGTAAAACCAGGGCAAGACAGGATGAACTATGTCGTCGCCAACACGAGCTGACTGACCCATACGCCTGCATCCAACGATCTGGGTCCTCGGGCTCGGACTATGCGATGGATGTAGATGTCAAGATCGTTTGCGGCTGAGCTGATCTGGTGGGAGCATGTGGTCATCGTCAATCCTGTCGAATTGTCCACGGTATCGGGGGTGAGTCCCCAGCCTAGAAGATAGCGTACTGAGTTCAACTATGCTGTAGGGCCAATTACAGTCGAGCGACTATAAGCGACGCTGACTGGTGCCGGCACGGTGATGATGACAACTTAGTTTCCAGAAGAAGCTCAAAGAGTGGCTAGAAGAAAAGGGGCAAAAGTTGAAGGAGGATTTCCGTTGAGAGGGCCCAAGCAAAAGAGGTATGAATCCACTATTCGTTGGATAATACCAAGTAGCAGCCAAAGGGTGGTAAATGTATCATGTGGTGGAGAGACATCGAGGCTGCTGGGGAAAGCTAAAAAGAATGGGTGGTATCCGGTAACATCGGAGAGGGTCCCAAGGGCAGGAAGGACATACTGGATGGAGTCAGAGAGACAGGCAGGCAGGCAGGCAGGCAGGCAGGCAGGCAGAGAGCCCCTTTCATGATAGTTACAAGAATGAAGACATCCTTGCCAACCATTCTAGCAACCATCCAGACTAATGTCCACTACTTTAGCATCGAACAAAGAAAGAAGACATCATCCCTGCCATGCAGCCTGGTCCGGCCAGAAACAGCCCCTCTCCCGATCGATCGTTTGATCTAGTTGCTGATGATTGATCGATGGGTGGATGGATGGATGGATGGATGGATGTATGGATGCATCAATGGATACCTAGATGAATATGGATCTATCCAACACACGCAAGGAACTTCCATGGAAGGCTTCGGTACTTCTGAGAACTAAACCGCTACCTCTCTGTTCACAGGTAGATTGATGATTGTTTCACCGTTCACATGATCTGTTCACCGCTTAGTTGCGGCTTAGTTGCATTTTAGTTGCTTGTCTGAGTGAGTGGCCGCCGCCCGTGCGCTTGTCTTGTTCTTTGCGGTCGCATTTCGTGTTCCCTCCTTCTTCCATTCTCCTCTTCCCTGCACCAATTTGGTCAGGGCTACCAACCACAGTATTCGAGCCAATCCCTCCCTCCCTCCTCCTCCTCCTCCTCCTCCTCCTCCTCTTCGTCCTCCTCCCAGAAACCAATCGTAGGGTTATGCGTGGCAACATCTCGTGGCCGCCACGTTTTTGACCCTCCCAACCAGTCCTAAGTGCTGTACCAACCGGATGCAAAGTGTGCCCCGGCTGCCGCTTGGGGGCAGAATCTCTTTCATCCGGTGAACGACCATACGGAGTACGCCGTCCATGGGAGCAGGCATTGCCCGTCACTGCAGTCGCTGGCTGCGCTGCACCGGTACTATGTAGGTGTAAGATTTGGAGAACAAAAGCCCTCCCCACTCTGTTGCCACGAATAGCCCGCAGATCATGTACGCTGGGTTGATGCTCACGCTAGCTGCATCCATCCCTGTCGGTCCTGGTCTGGTGTTTCAGATTTGGGTGGATGGAGAATGCTGCAGAGTAATCCCTGTCAGAGTTAAAGTGATGGGTTGATTGACTGTCTGTCAGCATCCGATGCGATTTGCATAGTACATACCTATTCAGTTGACGGTCTATACATCTCTCGATCGGCTTCCGCAAGTTTGTTACTCGTACATACATATAACAAACAATCCCAAGACCAGGGAGGCTCAACCCAGCAACGGACTGCTGGGAACGTGTTCGAAGCGAACTCTTGCTCCGCCTATCCTACACCATGGTAAACCCTCTGTCCCATCACAAAGGAACAACTAAGGTCATCACGCCCCCAAGGGAAGAATACGTCGAAGAAAGTCCACTGGTCCCATCCATCCATCTCTTCCCCCCCCCCCAACCCAATTTGCAGGATCATCGTTTCTAGTAAGGCGGGTCCGACCCCCAAAGTTCCTCCTAGGCTCTTGGCCCGAAGATGTGGTGGAGCCCTCGCCCATTGCATCCGGCCTCTTGTCTCGTCAACGGCGCTGATCGGCGGGGCCTGGCCAGCTTCTTGGTTAGTCTGGGACGCAGTGTTGCGGTGACTGTCCCCGGGCGGAAACCTTAGCTCTCCTTAGGGGTGGTCTTAGTGCAGGAGACAAGCGACAGGCGGTGCGAGTGTGACAAGCTCGTCTCCCGTGCTGTGGTCATGTTCTTGCGAGGTGTACTTGGTTAGTGTCGGACAACGGCAGTAGGGCTTGGGGCGGGTGCACGTAGAAAGAAAAGGTTGTAGCTATTCAACAAGCTGTACGTACATACGCCGAGGAGGATGCAGAGCGGCATGTTAAACAGATGAAAGAAGTTCGAAGAAACAAAAAGCTATGACAAGAGTGGGATTCGAACCCACGCCACTTGCGTGACTGCAATGCTCTTCAGATGCTATCTGGAGAAGGAGAAGTAGTCCTTGAGTGCAGCGCCTTAGACCACTCGGCCATCTTGCCTGTGATGACAAATACACTCCAGTATAAATTTATGTCGAGAGCGGCAAGTAATTACTCAGTGGTCCTATTACACTCAACTTGGTTATGTTTCTGGATTGTTGCTTGGGGTTCAACGCGCGCGTTTGTTTAAGCTGCACGATGTTGACTTATCCCGATCAAATAGAAGGTCAGGCATTGGTATGTCGGTTTCATAATGAGAGATCCGTAAAGAGTGTACTCTCAATTGTGAAGCTTGGTATGCACTGTTGGTTTTGTGTTCCTGGCCGGTGTGCTCCAGTAGACACTATATGGTGTGCACTGTGCATTGTATCTCTTGCTTGTAGAGTCCGATATGAATATTAGCTGATGGATATTTGTAGTAGATCAGCTGAGCTACCGGCAATTCCACTGGCGGTACGTACGAGTTATATATACCTACGTCACACGTACGGAGGTTGCTTGTCTCCCGTGGTTCCATGTTGTATATAACACCCTGCGGCGGTCTATAACGATCACAGTTCTGAACGGAGTATAAACTTCTAATAGTCCTTCGTACGACAACTCATTCGTATGACAACTAATTAATCGGCATGGAGATATATCGGATTACAAACTGGCTGTCATACCTGCTAACAAGCCTTTCTATCACCAAGGGCAAGATGGCCGAGCGGTCTAAGGCGCTGCACTCAAGGACTATTCCTTCTTCAGATCACATCTGAAGAGCATTGCAGTCACGCAAGTGGCGTGGGTTCGAATCCCACTCTTGTCATAGCTTTTTATCTCCACTCTAAGTGCCGTGACTCCCAACTTCCTAGTGCGGAGCAGTGGTTTGCTCAGACTACAATGGATCGGTTTCAAGTAATTTTTGTTGCAGGTGGCAAGATGGCCGAGTGGTTAAGGCGTCAGATTTAAGAGATTGAACTCTGATCTTCGAAAGAAGTCGTGCGTTCGAACCGCGCTCTTGCCAATCCATTTTTATATCTGATGCACATCAATCCACCACCCAAAGAAAAGTTTGAATTCATCAGCCATTTTTTTTTTGCCCAAACCAACCCTACACCTGTCACCCACT